TGATGTAAACAAACTCGAGAGTTGCTATAACCCTTACGGGGCTAGCGCTTCCCCTAAATATAGTAAAATTAATAATTATCGTATGTGGGTTGATGGGGTGTTGCTAATGAATTAAACATACGGGTTTAGCGCTTGTCTCTGAATATAATAACTTTGAGGTCTCCCTAACCAAGACCATGTTCACGCAACCAGTCTTAATGGAAAATACTTTAAATAATAAAAAGGCACAATACAGTGACTGGAATAATACACAACTCTCATACAGGAGAGAGAAGCTTACGACGACGTTGCTGTATAGCCCTTGTGGCTTAGCGCTTCTTTTTGATTATAATAATTACGACGACGTTTCGGCCACAAATGGTAACTGTAAATGTTTCAAGTCTCTCTCTCTCTCTCTCTCTCCCCTCTCCCCTCCCCCTCTCTCCCCTCCCCCCCTCCCCCTTACTCTCCCCCTCCCCCTCTCTCTCCCTCCCCTCCCCCTCTCTCTCCCTCCCCCCCTCTCCCCCCTCCCCCCCTCTCTCCCCCTCCCCCCCTCTCTCCCCCTCCCCCCTCTCTCCCCCTCCCCCCCCTCTCTCTCCCCCTCCCCCCCTCTCTCCCCTCTCCCCCCCCTCTCTCCCCTCCCCCTCCTCTCCCCCTCCCCCCCTCTCTCCCTCCCCCCCCCTCTCTCCCCTCCCCCTCCCCCTCCTCTCTCCCCCCCCCCTCTCTCCCCCTCCCCCCCTCTCTCCCCTCCCTCCCCCCTGTGTATGGGTTATTTATGTATAACACTTTGGATAATTCTGGGTATCCTGTAGTAGAACTGCCGGTTAGGATCAGGACTAGTTTAATATATTTATTATGCACCCCATACCCACCCTGTGGGTGGTAGTCAAAACGATGCAACATCCCCCAATGAAAAGCAGGGGTGTCACTAGCACGTTAAGAGACAGTACAATAAGTGTCAGGGGCCCGAGACTGTTCAACTGCCTCCCAGCATACATAAGGGGTATTACCAATAGACCCCTGGGTGTCTTCAAGCTGGTACTGGACAAACACCTAAAGTCAGGCTTTGATCCACCAGGAGACCTGGTTACAGACCGGGCCGCGGGGGCGTTGACCCCCGGAACTCTCTCCAGGTAAACTCCAGGTACATAGTGAGCCGCAGTGTTTTGATAGCCGAACAGGTTACAGAGGTAATGAACTATTTACATGTTTATATCTGGTTACACCTCTTCAAGGGGGGGCTCCTTGGTGCGGTGAAGAGGCTCTTGGTCTGAAGAATTAGACCTTTTGGTCTCTTTCCTCAGACCAAGCCTAATTACCTCCCCCCCAATTCCCCCTTCCCTATCCCATCCTCCCCATCCCCCCTTTCTCCTTCCAATCATTCCCCTATCCTCTTCCTGTTTTCAGCCTTTGGGATTCTTCCCATAGGCACTCTAGTTCCTAGGTAGGGGGAAGGGTACCGTGTTCCATCCCATTCCGTTTAGGTCCTTGGTGGTGGTGTAGTTTGCCGTGGAATCTGGATCACCAGGGGATGTCCCGATCTCTCACGTCTCCCGGGGGGTATTTTTGGATGTCTTTTGGGTGACGGGTGTATCTCGGGAGGTTGCCTTTCAGATTCCAGGGGGTGATGGCCGAAGGAAGTATGCTTTGTGGCGGGTGTCCAACCGCCCTCTTTCGTCACCGAGGTGGTTTGGCGGATGTGAGGTTGCTATCCCAGATTGCTGGTTTACTGGCAGGAAGGGTAGGGTATGGCACGGGTTCTATGCTGCATCTGCATTACTTGCGGTGCTGGGGTTCTCCTGGGTGCAGAGGGGGAGTTACAGCCTTTTCTTTCCTCCTACGAGCTATTCCTCTACATTCTTTTTTCTAAAAACAAAAAGAAAGTGACATAACCATGGAGTCCCAAGTCCATGAACCTGCTCTCCCCTTCCGGGCCCCTTCCTGATACCGCACCCTGCCTCATCCCTTGACCACTCTTCGGACATTTCTAATGCCTCTGTACTTCTTGCTGGTGCCGTTTCGTCATCCACCCCAGGTTCTGGGGCTCTGCCTGACTCCTTTGATACATATGACCTCTGCACTTTTTTAACTATGCTTCCGTCTCCTCCCTCTTTGGTGCAGCGATTTTCGGATTACCCACCCATCCCACACTGGACCAACTCGGGTCCCACACCTAAAAGCCCAAGACCATTACTGATAATACTTCTTCACTTCTCATTCTACTCAGAAAAGACTGGCACGTCATGCACTCCCTTTACACGCCATGTTTCAAAATACACAATGGACTAAGTTTTTTTTTTTTTTTTTTTTACTCTGCGACTGACTTCTACGACCTATCTTTCCGGTCACGTTGGTAGATATATCCTCTCGTGCTCTCAAGAGTGGTACATGCATCGTCACTGTCCAGCATACTAGCCAAGCTCACGATTTCTCTCTCCTTACAACCATAGATGCTATTCCTGTCACGCACCTCAAGGGAGGTTCCTTGATGCTGGTGAGGGACTCTTGATCTAGGGAATTGGACCCCTCAGGGAAGGTTCCTTGATGTTAGTGAGGGGCTCTTGATTTAGGGAATTGGATCTGTGCTCCAGTTCCCTGAATTAAGCCAGAATGCCTTCCACATCCCCCCCCAGGCGCTGTATAATCCTACGGGTTTAGCGCTTCCCCTTGATTATAATAATAAATAATAGGGAATTGGATCTGTGCTCCAGTTCCCTGAATTAAGCCTGAATGCCTTCCATCCCTCCCCCACATGCGCTGTATAATCCTACGGGTTCAGCGCTTCCCCATGATTATAATAATAATTTCACTAGACGTTCTGTCATCTCTGATCATCCATTGCACCTCTATGGCTCGCGTATCGCAGAACGTGATACGGTCAGGTTTCTCGGCCTTCTGTTTGACCGTAGGTTATCCTGGAAATCTCACATTACATCTCTGAAGGCAACTTGCCATAGCCGGCTGAACTTCCTTAAAAACCCTCGCTCATCTTTCATGGGGGATGGGGGGGGGGCTGATCGACTACATTCAGCCCTAATTTTATCGAAACTCGATTATGGCGACCAGAAATATTCAGCGGCCTCTTCTAGAGGGACATCGAAGGATCCCAATGGAAATAAGTCACTGACATTTTGGGGGTTATCCTGGGCTCTCTACATATATGCTGCTATGTATGATTATCTATGTAGCCGTATTTGTGTATACCTGAATAAACTTACTTAACCGTTGTATCTGAGAACCTCTGGTTGCAGGGGTCGATTCATAGCTCCTGGCCCCGCCTCTTCACTGATTGCTACTAGTTCCTCTATCTCCCTGCTCCATGAGCTTTATCATACCTCGCCTTAAAACTATGTATGGTTCCCGCCTCCACTACGTCACTTTCTAGGCTATTCCATGGCCTGACTATTCTATGACTGAAGAAGTACTTCCTAACATCCCTTTGATTCATCTGAGTCTTCAACTTCCAATTGTGACCTCTTGTGTCTGTGTCCCATCTCTGGAAGATCCCGTCTTTGTCCACCTTGTCTATTACGTGCAGTATTTTATGTCGTTATGTCTCCCTTGACCCTCCTGTCCTCCAGTGTCGTCAGGCCGATTTCCCTCAACCTTTCTTCATAGGACAATCCCCTTAACTCTGGGACTAGTCTTGTTGCAAACCTTTGTACTTTCTCTAATTTCTTGACGTGCTTGACCAGGTGTGGATTCCAAACTGGTGCTGCATACTCCAGTATGGGCCTGACGTAAATGGTATACAGTGTCTTGAACGATCCCTTACTGAGGTATCGGAACGCTATCCGTAGGTTTGCCAGACGCCCATATGCTGCAGCAGTTATCTGATTGATGTGCGCCTCAGGAGATGTGCTCGGTGTTATACTCACCCCCAGATCTTTTTCCTTGAGTGAGGTTTGCAGTCTTTGGCCATCTAGACTATATTGTGTCTGCGGTCTTCTTTGCACTTCCCCAATCTTCATGACTTTGTACGAGTGATGGTGAAAGTGTTGAATGATGAAAGTCCGGGCCAGATTTCGGGGAGGGGTCCCAGCCCCCCCACCAGAAGGGGCCCCACCCCCACAACCAGAAGGGGCCCCACCAAATGATGAAAAATATTATACTGAGAATTGAATAGATCGCAAAAAGAGAAAATGTATGCAAGAGTTTGAATTGTGTTGGGAGTCATCAGATTGCTAGTATTACATCATCGGTACGAGCACGTCATCAGCTGCATGACGTGAGGATAACTCACAGCACATCATCATCCTGGGTGTGCAGGGCGCTGCAGTATGAATGACTGCTTGATTGTGGTCAGTATGTGAACAACAGTGGTTGTGAAAACCGGCTACGAGCGAGCAAAAAGCAAGGGCAGCTTGTGAACCTGACGGTCATGAGCATAGAATCTGACATCTTGTGCTCCTTGGATTTTAATGGAGTAATCAGAGACGTTTCCCTCAGAAAAGCATGGAATGTACCTGACTTGCAATATTTTATCTGATTGAAGATAACTCCTCAAAAGTCTGTACATTACTTTTGAGTTACACTTGCAAATGAACTGAAAGGCTGCAAAAATACACTATAAATCCAATTATTTTATTTCTTAATCTTAAGACCTCTCAGGGAAGGTTCCTTGATATTGGTGAGGGGCTCTTGATTTAGGGAATTGGATCTGTGCTCCAGTTCCCCGAATTAAGCCTGAATGTCTTCCATATCCCCCCAGGCGCTGTATAATCCTATGGGTTCAGCACTTCCCCTTGATTATAATAATAATAATAATTAATCTTAAGAGGATAGTACGCATACTGAAAGTGGCGAAACTTTTCCAAGGAGAAACTTAAAAAGTTTTCTAACCATTAAAGTTAGACCTTATTAATGCAAGGGGCCCCCCACCAAACTGGGCCCCGTCCCCCATCACCTAAATCCAGCATTGATGAAAATTTTCTCTATGGGTTTTTCTTTCCTTTTAGGTCACCCTGCCTCGGTGGGAAACGGCCGACCGGTTAAAAAAAAAAAAACAATTAAGTTACCCATTGAAAAATATTTTCTTTAGTTAGTGTTGACAAGAGATCAGCTGAGGTGACGGCAGCTGCCAGGACCATCACAATCATCTATCTCACTCTTAAAATGGGACATTTATTCTCTAAAAGGAAGAGCAGAGTGACAGAACACGACAAAGCTTTACTGGTGTGTGTTAAACCCGGTTGTGTGAGCTGTGGTAAGCCACCTGGACGGTGGCTTGGTTAAGTGGCTTAGTTCACACGTGTTTGTTATTATTTGTGAATATATGGCTTGTAAAACTGTTAAGTTGATAAGTGAGACTTGTGCAACATTTGGGTTGGTTTATTATGGAAATGTTTCGCCCATACAGTGGCTTCTTCAGTGCAGAAATAAGGTGGGATGTGAGGAGTTTGAAGTAATCAGTCCCTCAGCCTGGTGTTAGTGTGTTGAGTTGACAAAAGTTAAGATTGATGGATTGAACAATCTTGACAAAAGTTAAGATTGATGGATTGAACAATCTTGACAAAAGTTAAGATTGATGGATTGAACAATCTTGACAAAAGTTAAGATTGATGGACTGAACAATCTTGACAAAAGTTAAGATTGATAGACTGAACAATCTTGACAAAAGTCAAGATTGATAGACTGAACAATCTTGACAAAAGTCAAGATTGATAGACTGAACAATTTTGACAAAAGTCAAGATTGATAGACTGAACATGTTGACTCCAGGTTGAGGGACTGATTACTTCAAACTCCTCATCTTCATCTTCCACCTTCTTCTAAACTGGACTGAAGAATCTACAGTGTGGGGGAAACGTTTCCATAATAAAGTTACCTAATTGTCTCATTTATCCACTTCTATTTGTTACTCTTGAGTTGTGTGTGAATTGTGTTTTATTGCAAGGTGTTGGACTCCTACGGTTTTAGCGCAAATAATTCTTGGGGAATCTAGGTTTATTGGCTCTTAGTAAGTCTTAAATTGTTAGAATTGTGGGTTATTGTTAGAATTTTGAGTTATTATTACAATTATGGATTGTGAGAATTTTAGCTTTTGTTAGAATTTTGGGTTATCAGAGGTAATTTACATATATGTTACCTGGAGACCTGGAGAGAGTTCCGGGGGTCAACGCCCCTGCGGCCCGGTCTGTGACCAGGCCTCATGGTGGATCAGGGCCTGATCAACCAGGCTGTTACTGCTGGCTGCACGCAAACCAACGTTGATTATTTGTGTAACTGTATTTATGTGCACCTGTACCTAAATAAACTTATTTATAATGACTTCTATGGGTTTAGTGCATATAATTTCTTGTGAAATTTAAGCTTATTGGCTCTTAGCATGTGTTTGCTCCCCTATTTATTAAGCTTCGAGCTGTGAGTAGTTTTATTCCGAGGTGTAGGACCCCTACGTGTTTAGCGCACACAATTCTTGGGGAAATCTTGGCGTAGTTGTGGAGGAATATATTAATCAGCAAGAAGTAAATGGGCGTTACAAGGACCCCAATAGAAATAAGCCACTTTAACTTTGTTGGGTTATCTGGTAGGTAATTTGCACTATGTATATGATAATTGTACTTATGCATACCTGTGACTAAATAAACTTGACTGTTGTGGCTGGCATTGCATAATTAGTGGCTTTTGGGCTTACTATTGTATTAATACATATAATTACATTTTTTGTATGGCTTAAGTAAGAATTATTATTATTATTATTATTAAAAGACCTCTGGAAATATGATGCATTGATTGGCTTTCTTTGGTTATTATGGGTTACTAACCATCTGCTTTAATAATTTTTGTTATACCTTGAACTTCTAGCATTATTTTAGTTCCAGTACGTAATGTTTCTAAAATAGCCTTGTGAGTACTGCCTTTTTTGGGTTATCCTGGGTGGCTAACCCTCCAGGGTTAAAAATCCGAACAAAATCTTAATCTGTGAGGTTTAGTTAATGGAATATGCAAGGGAAAATTATAGGTAGTGTGTTGAAATGAAAGATTATTATTAGGTAGAGTTTACCTGGAGAGAGTTCCGGGGGTCAACGTCCCCGTGGCCCGGTCTGTGACCAGGCCTCATGGTGGATCAGGGCCTGATCAACCAGGCTGTTACTGCTGGCTGTACGCAATTCAACATACGCGCCACAGCCCGGCTGTTGAGACACTGGTAAAAAGCTTGTCTTGGGAGGCAAAATTGGCAGATGAGCCAAGGTATAGTGGTGCCATCTCCCTTTATATTGAGGTGAGACAAGTTTCCAACATGGCAGTGAAAAGGCTGGAGACAGTGATGTTATGTTTCAGAGGAGTTTGTTGTCTTGCATAGTACCATACCTATCAATTACCTAGGATAACCCCCCAAAAAATCAAAGTTATTTATTTCCATTGGGTGTCCTTGTATTTCCAGTGGGCTCCTTGTATTTCCAATGGGCTCCTTGTATTCCCAATGGGGTCTTTGTATTTCCATCGGGGTCCTTGTATTACCATCGGGATCCTTGTATTTCCATCGGGGCCCTTGTATTTCCATCGGGGCCATTGTATTTCCATTGGGGTATAATTCAGACAGTGGAGGAGGGGCATTTAGAAAGGACAGACCAAAATAAAATGACAAAGAGTGTATACTCTGGGGTGGAAGGAAGGAGGGATGAGGATTGTCCCTGGCAGGGTTTGAGGGAAGGGTGAATGTTTAAAGAATAAAATGACTTATATTTTAACTAAATTCAGTAAACTTCTTATTGTTAGTTTTCTTCTCAAGAAGACCTAAGTCATAAAATTACACTTGTTCAAACAAATTATGTATTTGATTGTAAAATATTGTATACAGTACAGCCTCTCCTCACTTAATGGAGTTCCGTTCCTAAGACCACATCGGTAAACGAATTCGTCACTAAGCAATAATGGTAGTGAATTTGTGTCAGTATCTTTGATATTGTTTTAATGTCACCTTTGCACCATTTATAACATTTTTAGTATATTTTTAAATGTTTATACAGTAGTGTACTGTATATTGTAATAAACAGAATAAATCAGCTCTAATATACATTATTTAGGTATGCATACTGGTCAGAGAGCCCATCCTAAGTCTGAGGCATCGGTAAACGAGTACGTCGCTAAGTGAGGAGAGGCTGTATATATCCTGATACATTTTCAATCACACATCAGCCCTCTCCCACCAGGGTAGGCTGACCTCCCCTCCTCCAAAGAAAAAAAGATGCACATAGTGTCCAGACATTACAGTTCAAATAATACTGAGAACTGAAACATCCTCACCCCTCCTCCAGAGTGCAGGCACTGTAATTCCCATCTCCAGGACCTTAATGTGGCTGTTCATTTTTCCTGAATATCTTCATAAATGTTATCTTAATTACTTTGCTCCAACAGCACATGAAATGCTGTTGGATCAAACTTGCTAGTTGCTCCAGATCCTACCACTTTAAGGGGCATCCCCTTAAAGAGTAAGATGACTTGTATTGTTGATAATGAATGACACATGAAAAAGAGAATACTTGAGTTATTTCTGATGTAGTGTCATTCTTTGATCTTTTAATCCATTTAAATACCTCACAGAATAAAAAATAAAATGTGTTCTTTTTACACGTATATTGATGAAAGCATTTTTTCAGCAACTAAAAACAACTCGAGACAAGATCCATCAGTACCAGAAGCGATCAGAGGCAACAGTTGAAAAAGACAGACAACTTGCAAAGAAGCTTATACGAGATGGTAAAAAGGAGTAAGTACACATATTTAAGTATCGAGATATTTGTACTTTAAAGTCTTGATGATCTTTCCAACTTTCTATGAGGGGTTTGCAAAGGAAGATGGTGGCTGCAAGAATGTAGCTCAGTGTTCGCAAGAGTTGCTCTTCCTAAGAGTATGCAGTCTTCATTTCAGCTACCTGTGTCAACACCTTGATGGGGCTACATTGTCTGTCCTCCTCTCCAGTGGTCCCACTGTAATTTGCTAACTGACACCAATATGTTATTTTAACTATGACCCCTATATTGTTTTTTGCAGATGTCCAAGTTGTATGCAGATATAATTAATTATATTAAGTAAAAGGACATATGTACAACTAATGCAACTTTTTATTGTGGCAACATTTCGCTCTCTGCGACAGTAAAACGTTGCCACAATAAAATGTCACATTTGTTGCACATGTATCCTTTTACATACCACTATTGCCATTTTGTGGAACTTTTACTCTGCTACTTAATTACTTGATAGAAAAATAAATGCACATGGACTACTATTTATCACATCATGTACAGTTGATGTTGTTATGAGAATAATAATTATGTGATGTCTGCTGCATAAAGACATCATTAAATATTTTATGCAGTTACAGTGGAACCTCGGTATAGGACCCTAATTCATTTCAGAAGGCTGTTCGAGTGCCGCTCCATTTGAGTATCGAGTAAGTTCTTCCCAACCAATTTTCTGTTTGGTTGGCTGTTATCGCTAATCGTCGTAGGCTCCATGGTGACTCATTCATACAAATAATACAAAAAACACCAAAAAATGTGAAGAAACACGAAATAGATTACAGCGAAGTTCTGGCAGGTCATATTTGTTTGGTCGAGTGCTGAGCTTTGTTTGAGTAGGTAGCTGATCATATACCGAGGTTCCACTGTACAGTTTATAAATCCATGTCAGAGGTGAAGACTAATCCATAATCTTCACCTCTAAACAATACAGGTATTTTCTTTATATCTAACTTTGCTTCTTTCTACAGACGGGCCTTGTTACTGCTGCGCAAGAAGAAGTTTATAGAGGAACAGCTGAAGAAAACCGACGGAACACTAGATAATATTGAAAAAATGATTCAGGACATTGAATTTTCTCAGATAGAAATGCAGGCATGTATATTTACAACTTCGCCATTCCTAAATGAGAGAAAATAAATAAATATATACTGTAAATATATAAATAAATATATAAATAAATATATATAAATAAATATTAATAAATATATATATTAAATCTTTCTTTCTTTCAACACACCCGCCGTATCCCACTGAGGTGGGGTGGCCCAAAAGGAAAAACAAAAGTTTTCCTTTTACATTTAGTAATATATACAGGAGAAGAGGTTACTACCCCCTTCCCTCCCGGCATTTTAGTCGCCTTTTACAACACGCATGGCTTACGGAGGAAGAATTCTGTTCCACTTCCCCATGGAGATAAGAGGAAAAACAAGAATAAAAAACTAGAAAGAAAATAGAAGAAAACCCAGGGGGGTGTGTATATATGTGCTTGTACATGTAGTGTAGTGTGACCTAAGTGTAAGTAGAAGTAGCAAGACGTACCTGAAATCTTGCATGTTCATGAGACAGAAAAAAGGACACCACAATCCTCCCTTTCATGTAAAACCAATTACAGGCTTTCGTTTTACACTCACTTGGCAGGACGGTAGTACCTCCCTGGGCGTTGCGTCTACCAACCTACTACCTATATATAAAATATATATAAAAAAAATAAAAAATATATATATATATATATATATATATATAAATATTTTATAAATAATATATAAATATAATAAATATATAATAATATATTATATATATGTAGTAGGTTGGTAGACAGCAACCACCCAGGGAGGTACTACCGTCCTGCCAAGTGAGTGTAAAACGAAAGCCTGTAATTGTTTTTACATGATGGTAGGATTGCTGGTGTCCTTTTTTTTCTGTCTCATAAACATGCAAGATTTCAGGTACGTCTTGCTACTTCTACTTACACTTAGGTCACACTACACATGCATGTACAAGCATATATATGCATGTATACACATCCCTCTGGGTTTTCTTCTATTTTCTTTCTAGTTCTTGTTGTTGTTTATTTCCTCTTATCTTCATGGGGAAGTGGAACAGAATTCTTCCTCCGTAAGCCATGCGTGTTGTAAGAGGCAACTAAAATGCCGGGATCAAGGGGCTAGTAACCACCTCCTCCCGTATAAATTACTGAATTTAAAAAGAGAAACTTTTGTTTTTCTTTTTGGGCCACCCTGCCTTGGTGAGATACGGCCGGTTTGTTGAAAAAAAAAAAATATATGTATATATAAGTGGAATAAGAATCTTTCCTCCGTAAGCCATGCGTGTTGTAAAAGTCAACTAAAATGCCGGGAACAATGGGCTAGTAACCCCTTTTCCTGTAAAGATTACTAAAAAGAATAAGAAGAAGAAAATTGTCAAAGTGGGAAGTCTGAATGTGCATGGATGTTGTGCAAATGATAAGAAAGAGATGATTGTGGATGTTATGAATGAGAAGAAACTGGATGTCCTGGCTTTAAGTGAAACAAAGCTAAGGGGGGTGGGAGAGTTTCAATGGAGAGGAATAAATGGATTAGGTCAGGGGTTTCAAATAGAGTTAAAGCTAAAGAAGGAGTAGCAATAATTTTTGAAGGATAAGTTATGGCGGGAAAAGAGGGACACAATGTATAATTCAAGGTTTATGGGGAAAGTAAAATAGATTGGATGTGAAAAGTGGGTTATAGTAAGTGTGTATGCACCTGGAGAAGAGAGAAGGTAGAGGAGAGAGATTCTGGGAAATGTTGAGTGAAGCATGGGGAGTTTTGAACCAAGTGTGAGAGTAATGGGGGTTTGGGGGATTTCAATGCTAAAGTGGGTAAAATGTTATGGAGGGAGTAGTAGGTAAATTTGGGTGCCAGGGGTAAATGTAAATGGGGCCTTTATTGAGCTATGTGTAGAAAGAAATTTGGTAATAAGTAATACATATTTTATGAAAAAGAGGATAAATAAATATACAAGGTATGATGTAAAACGTAATGAAAGTAGTTTGTTGATTATGTTTTGGGTGGATAAAAGGTTGAGGGGTAGGCTCCAGGATGTACATGTTTATAAGGTGCAACTGATATATTGGATCATTATTTAGTTGTAGCTACAGTTAGAGTAAGAGGAAAGTGGCAAAAACAAGTAAGAGGAAGGTGAAAGTGTATAAACTAAGGGAGGGGGAAAATTCGGGCGAGATATAAGCGACTATTGGCAGAAAGGTGGGCTAGTGCAAAGATGAGTAGTGGGGGGGGGGTTGAAGAGGGTTGGAATAGTTTTAAAAAATGCCTTTTAGAATGTGGGGCAGAAGTTTGTGGTTATAGGAGGGTGGGGGCAGGAGGGAAGAGGAGTGATTGGGGGAATGATGAAGTAAAGGGGTGATAAAGAGAAAAAGGTAGCTTATAAAGGTTTTTACAAAGCAGAAGTTTTTAAAAGAAAGCAAGTATATGGAGAGAAAAAGAAAGGTGAAGAGAGTGGTGAGAGAGTGCACAAGGAGAGCAGATGATAGAGTGGGAGAGGCACTGTCAAGAAATTTTAATGAAAATAAGAAAAAATTTGGGGAGTTAAACAAGTTAAAAGAAAGCCTAGGGAAAGTTGGATTTGTCAGTTAAAAACAGAGTAGGGAGTTAGTAGATGGGGAGAGGGAGGTATTAGGTAGATGGCGAGAATATTTTGAGGAACTTTTAAATGTTGAGGAAGAAAGGAGGCGGTAATTTCATGCACTGGCCAGGGAGGTATACCGTCTTTTAGGAGTGAAGAAGAGCAGAATGTAGTGTGGTGGGAGGTACGTGAGGCATTACGTAGAATGAAAGGGGTAAAGCAGCTGGAACTGATGGATCATGACAAAAAAATGTTAAAAGCAGGGGGAAAATATAGTGTTGGAGTGGTTGGTCTTCTTTCTTTCTTTCAACCCCATCGGCCGTATCCACCAAGGCAGGGGGGCCCCAAAAAGGGAAAAACGAAAGTTTTCCTTTTACATTTAGTAATATATACAGGAGAAGAGGTTACTAGCCCTTGCTCCCGGCATTTAGTCGCCTCTTACAACACGCATGGCTTAGGGAGGAAGAATTCTATTCCACTTCCCCATGGAGATAAGAGGAAATAAACAAGAATAAGAACTAGAAAGAAAATAAAAGGGAAAACCCAGAGGTTTGTGTATATATAATGCCTGACATGTATGTGTAGTGTGACCTAAGTGTAAGTAGAAGTAGCAAGACGTATCTGAAACCTTGCATATTTATGAGACAGAAAAATGGACACCAGCAATCCTACCATCATGTAAAACAATTACAGGCTTTTGTTTTACATTCACTTGGCAGGACGGTAGTACCTCCCTGGGCGGTTGCTGTCTGCCAATCTACTACCTATAGGAGTGGTTGGTACCTTTGTTTAATAAATGTATGAAAGAGGGGAAGGTACCTAGGGATTGGTGGAGAGCATGTATAGTCCCTTTATATAAAGGGAAAGGGGACAAAAGAGATTGTAAAAATTATAGAGGAATAAGTTTACTGAGTATACCAGGAAAAGTGTACGGTAGGGTTATAATTGAAAGAATTAGAGGCAAGACAGAATGTAGGTTTGCGGATGAGCAAGGAGGTTTCAGAGTGGGTAGGGGATGTGTAGACCAAGTGTTTACATTGAAGCATATATGTGAACAGTATTTAGATAAAGGTAGGGAAGTTTTTATTGCATTATGGATTTAGAAAAGGCATATGATAGAGTGATAGGGGACAATGTGGCAGATGTTGCAAGAAATAGGGAAATAGGTGGTAAGTTACTAAATGCTGTAAAGAGTTTTATGGGATAGTGAGCTCAGGTTAGGATGTGTAAAAGAGAGGGAGACAAATTTCCCAGTAAAAGTAGGTCTTAGACAGGGATTTTGTAATGTCACCATGGTTGTTTAATATATTTATAATGGGTTGTAAAAGAATAAATGCTAGGGTGTTCGGAGAGGGGTGGGATTAAATTATGGGGAATCAAATTCAAAATGGGAATTGACACAGTTACTTTTTGCTGAATACTGGCTCATGGGAGATTCTAAAGAAAAATTGCAAAGGTTAGTGGATGAGTTTGGGAGTGTGTGTAAAGGTAGAACATAGAAAAGAGTAAGGTGATGAGGGTATCAAATGATTTAGATAAAGAAAAATTTGATATCAAATTGAGGAAGAGGAGTATGGAAGAAGTGAATGTTTTCAGATACTTGGGAGTTGACGTGTTGGCGGATGGATTTATGAAGAATGAGGTTAATCATAGAATTGATGAGGGAAAAAAGGTGAGTGGTGCGTTGAGGTATATATGGAGACAAAAAACGTTAAATATGGAGGCAAAGAAGAGAATGTATGAAAGTATAGCAATACCAACACTCATATGGGTGTGAAGCTTGGGTTGTGAATGCAGCAGCGAGGAGGCGGTTTACCTGGAGAGAGTTCCGGGGGTCAATGCCCCCGCAGCCCGGTCTGTGACCAGGCCTCCTGGTGGATCAGAGCCTGATCAACCAGGCTGTTACTGCTGGCTGCACGCAATCCAATGTACGAGCCACAGCCTGGCTGGTCAGGTACCGACTTTAGGTGTTTGGGTCCAGGGGCCAGCTTAAGACTGCCAGGGGTCTATTGGTAATCCCCCTTATGTATGCTGGGAGGCAGTTGAACAGTCTCAGGCCCCTGACACTTATTGTATTGTCTCTTAACGTGCTAGTGACACCCCTGCTTTTCATTGGGGGAATGTTGCATCATCTGCCCAAGTCTTTTGCTTTCGTTGTGAGTGATTTTCTGTGTGCAAGTTCGGTACTAGTCCCTCTAGGATTTTCCAGGTGATATAATCATGTATCTCTCCCGCCTGCATTCCAGGGAATACCCGGTTCAGGAACTTCAAGCGCTCCCAGTAATTGAGGGGTTTTATCTCCGTTATGCGCGCCGTGAAGGTTCTCTGTACATTTCTAGGGCAGCAAAATTTTACCTGCCTTGAAAGGTGCGTAGTGTGCAGCAATATTCCAGCCTAGATAAACAAGCGACCTTAAGAGTGTCATCATGGGCTTGGCATCCCTAGTTTGAAGGTCTCATTATCCATCCTGTCATTTTTCTAGCAGCTGCGATTGATACAATGTTATGGTCCTTGAAGGTGAGATCCTCCGAAGTGATCACTCCCTGGTCTTTGACGTTGGTGTTTCGCTCTATTTTGTGACCAGAATTTGTTTTGTACTCCGATGAAGTTTTAATTTCCTCGTGTTTACCATTCCGGAGTAATCGAAATTTCTCATCGTTGAACTTCATATTTTTTTCTGCACCTCATTGAAAGATTTGGTTGATGTCTGCCTGGAGCCTTGCAGTGTCTGCAGTGAAAGACACTGTCATGCAGATTCAGGTGTCATCTGCAAAGGAAGACACGGTGCTGTGGCTGACATCCTTGTCTATGTCAGATATGAGGATGAGAAACAAGATGGGAGCGAGTACTGTGCCTTGTGGAACAGAGCTTTTCACCGTAGCTGCCTCGGACTTTACTCTGTTGACTACTACTCTTTGTGTTCTGTTTGTGAGGAAATTTTAGATACATCTACCAACTTTTCCTGTTATTCCTTTAGCACGCATTTTGTGCGCTATTACGCCAGGTCACCCCTTGTCGAAGGCTTTTGCAAAGTCTGTATATATTACATCTGCATTCTTTTTGTCTTCTAGTGCATCTAGGACCTTGTCGTAGTGATCCAATGTTTGAGACAGACAGGAGCGACCTGCTCAAACCCTGTTGCCCTGGGGTTTTGTAACTGATGGGTGGCGATCTTGCTTCTTAGGACACTTTCAAAGATTTTTATGATATGGGATGTTAGTGCTATCGGGTCTGTAGTTCTTGCATTTCTTTTACTGCCCCCTTTGTGGAGTGGGGCATTCTGTTGTTTTTAGTAACGTGGGACGACCCCCGTGTCCATGCTCCCTCTCCATAGGATGGTAAAAGCTCGTGATAGGGGCTTCTTGCAGTTCTTGATGAACACGGGGTTCCATGAGTCCTGGCCCTGGGCAGAGTGCATGGGCATGTCATTTATTGCCTGTTCAAAGTCATTTGGCATCAGGATAACATCAGATAGGCCTTTGTTTACCAAATTCTGTGGCTCTCTCATAAAAAATTTATTTGATCTTCGACTCCCCAGTCTGGTTAGCGGCTCGCTAAAAACTGATTCATATTGGACTTGAGTAGCTCAATCATTTCCTTGCTGTCAACTGTGTAGGGGCCCATCTTGTTTAAGTAGGGCCCGATGCTGGACTTGTTCTCGACTTGATTTGGCATAGGAAAAGAAATAAATTTGGGGTTCTTTCGATTCATTTATGGCTTTTAGTTTTTCCCGCGATTCCTGACTTCTATAAAATTCCTTTAGTTTAAGTTCGATGTTTGCTATTTCTCTGACCAGTGGGCTCCCTGCGCATTTCAGATATATGCCCTCTTTAGCCGCTCTGTTATTCTTTTTTGTCGCCCCGTCTCTTTCTATTTTACATCTACTCCTTCCATTTTCTTTAAAGGAATAAGCCTTGAGCATACATCGAGTGCCACCGAGTTTAATCTGTTCTAGGCATAAGTTGGGGTCTGTGTTGCTTAGTCTATCTTTCCCAGCTTTTATCGGTTAGGGCTGGTTTACTTGGTCCCACTCTATCTTCTTGTTATTGAAGTTGAATTTTTGGGGAAGCTCCTCGTGACTAATTTAATATGTCGGGCTGGGGGTCCGCCATACATGTCTGAACCTCGATTAAGTTGTGATCTGAGTATATTGTTTTTGATATGGGACATTTTGTATCAGATCATCAGTGTTAGTGAAGAAAGAGGGCTGGTGTATTCTCCAGTCTATGGGCTCTAATTTTTTACTGGTTTAAGTTGAATTTTTTGCAGAGATTTAAAAGCTCGTGTTGTGAGTTTTTCGCAGAGCTGCCTCCTGGGTTATCACTGCAACAATATTATTTGCTATATTCCTCCATTTTTTGGGGCCTTAAGTTGAAATCCCCCGAGCAAGATGTTGGGGGCAGGAGCGGCACATTTTCCAGACAGGGTCAATTTTTAACATTTGTTCCTGGAATTGGGTGGGACGTTGCATCCGGAGGCTTGTAGACTACCACAATGACTAGGTTTTGGTTCTCGATCTTTACTGCTAAAACTTCCACTACATCATTTGAGGCATTTAGCAGTTCTGTGTAAACAAGTGACTCTGCAATATACAGGCCAAGGCCCCCCCCCCCCCTTTGCCTGTTCACTCTGTCGCATCTGTATAGGTTGTAACCTGGGATCCACATTTCGTTGTCTAAGTGATCCTTTATGTGGGTCTCTGTGAAAGCTGCGAACATTGCATTTGCCTCTGCAAGCAGTCCACGGATGAAAAGTATTTTGTTGTTCGTTGCTGGCTTTAGATCCTGTATATTTGCAAAGAAGAATGGAGGCAGTGGAGATGTCCTGTCTAAGGGCAATGTGTGGTGTAAATATTATGCAGAAAATTCCGAGTGTGGAAATTAGGAGAAGGTGTGGAGTTAATAAAAGTATTAGACAGAGGGCTGAAGAGGGGTTGTTGAGGTGGTTTGGTCATTTAGAGAGAATGGATCAAAGTAGAATGACATGGAGAGCGTATAAATCTGTAGGGGAAGGAAGGCAGGGTAGGGGTCGTCCTCGAAAAGGTTGGAAGGAAGGGGTAAGGGAGGTTTTGTGGGCGAGGGGCTTGGACTTCCAGCACGCGTGCATGAGCGTATTAGATAGGAGTGAATGGTATTTGGGACCTGACGATCTGTTGGAGTGTGAGCAATGTAATATTTAGTGAAGGGATTCAGGGAAATCGGTTATTTTTATATAGCCGGACTTGAGTCCTGGAAATGGGAAGTACAATGCCTGCACTCTAAAGGAGGGGTTCGGGATATTAGCAGTTTGGAGGGATATGTTGTGTATCTTTATACGTATATGCTTCTGAGCACCTCTGCAAAAACAGTGATTATGTGTGAGTAAGGTGAAAGTGTTGAATGATGATGAAAGTATATTCTTTTTGGGGATTTTCTTTCTTTTTTGGGTCACCCTGCCTCGGTGGGAGATGGCCGACTTGTTAAAAAAAAAAAAATAGTGGAATTGTAAATGATTTTTTAACACCTAAAACTATGCCTTTATATCATCCTCACTCTTAATATATTTATTCCTTAGTATTAATTGGGATGGGAATATTAATTCAGAGATTTTTCATTTAGAAATACATTTAATTCATTTTTAATTATTGAGTTACAAGCAAAGGTATGATAATGGCAGGAAGATATACATCTACTTAATGTTCAATCGATTCACATTGTCAACATTCATGGCAACAGTATCCTGATTCAATTGTGTCCTTTCAGGTGGTTGATAGTCTGAAGATTGGCAATGAGTCGCTGAAACAGATCAATGCAATGCTCAGTATTGAAGATGTCGAGCACATCTTGGATGAGACTCAAGAGGCAGTGGAAAAACAACGGGTATGTTATGAATTATTGCCAAAATACTTTTTCCCTTTACCCACATCGGCCTATTTTCCATGAACCTGTGATCTAACATGGGTATTAGTTATGATCTCACAGGTATTAGATAGACTTGATTTCAGTTATTAGTCTTGACCTTATAAATATTAGATAGTCTTGGTCTTGTGGGTGTTGGTCATGACGTCATACATGTACTAAATAGTCGTGATCTCATATGTCATGACTGATCTTAGCGTCAACAGGTATTAAACAGCATTGACTTCATATATTCAGGTACGTATATTTGATAGTCTTTACCTCACACCGGCATATCCTGCCGATTCTGGCTTAATCAAGAGTATTACAGTATCAAGGCATCTTCTTCCTTCCTTGAAAGAAATACAGTATTGGAAGTTTGCATAATATTTTTGATTCACAGTTTGTCTCTATGGGAAATGACCATCTTGGTAAAAAAAAAAAAAAAAAATATGAGTCGATGATTTAGAGTTTTATATTTTGTTGAAACTTAAAATATTTTACTTATAGGAAGCTGATTTAAGTAGATATTACAGATTTATAATTAAAATATACATGTATTACTGAAAGTAATTACAGTACAATGTGTGTTGTAGGAGGTGACTAAAATGTCGGGAACAAGGGGTTAGTAACCCCTTCTCACTGTATACATCACTAAATTTAAAAAGAGAAACTTTCGGTTTTCTTTTTAGATCACCCTGCCTCGGTGGGATACGACTGGTTCATTGAAAAAAAAATTACAGTGCAATATTAATTACTGTATATATTAACCCTTGACTGCTGGTTGCCTAGCTGTTTATTAACAACACATTTTGGCCTGAAATTATCTATTTGTAGTTACAGGAGCAGATTATTACATTCATGGAGAACACTAAACCCATAATGTTCATACACATCTTGGGGGGCGGGGGTAATGGTAGGCAATCAGGTTCAGTTTCTAGGATCAGAAGTTCCTCACCAGCATCTCCTGTACCCTTGAGGGGTACAGGAGATGTTCTATGTTAATGATGTCCCAACTTCAGTAATTATTCATTATTTTTTTAGATTTCCAAGGCTTGTAGCACTATTTGCCTCATTGAATCAGTCTCATTGTTGCACCCTACTGTTTACGAAGATATCATATATATATATTAACTCTAATTTTAGTATATTTTATGGGGAAACTATAAATACATAGAGATCATATGGTATCTGGGGAATAGGAGGCAATTGGGTTTGATTCTAGGAAATGAATGAAGAGCCCCTCACTGACATTTTAAGGGACATACTATAGAATTTTTTATACGTAGGGTTTTTGTCCACTTAATACAGGTCCCCTCAACATTCGTAAGGGTTAGGGGATCACGAGCCTTGCAAATGTTTGGTGCCCCAATATATTGTAGGGAAATATAATGTAATACTGCTTCCTTAACTTGTTGAATCATAAAATACATGAAAATGTCATAAATTGTACTAAATACATACATATTATGGTTTAATAACATATATGTTATTAAATACCACTGCAAGTCCCTACTACCCTCCCTCCGACCCCCGCAACTGGCAGCCAGCCCTCCCACCACTGTGTGGTGAGTGTTTTGTTTGTTCATTATTTGCTATTAAACTACAGTATAAATAATGTAAACCCATCCATGACTGCATATTGGAATGGCTATTTGGACAGGTATTGGACTGGTGACGTCAAGTGTTTACTCTTGAACACAGCAAAGAATCAAACATTTCTGCTACTGCTAATAATAATAAATACGACCGAATTGAAGAAGGAAATTGTACAAAAATATGAGGGTTGAAGCAATAGTGGAGGGAGTGGTTGACACATCGTCAGCATGGCTTTGTTTATGCTGGAGTGAGCATTAGTCTCCATGCTCTTCCAAACATTTCATAATTCATTGTGTTTGTTGCTTGTAGATTGAGTGCGATTGGAGTGGTAGAGGCAGTGATATTTAATAACATACATGTTATTAAATACCATTGCCTCACCCACTACCTCTACCATTTCCAATCGCACTCAATCTACAAGCACCAAACACAGTGAATGATTGTGAAATGTTTGGAAGAGCATGGAGACTAATACTCACTCCAGCATAAACAAAGTCACACTGACGATGTGTCAACCACTCCCTCCACTATTACTTCAACCCTCGTATTTTTGTACAATTTCCTTCTTCAATTCGATCGTATTTATTATTATTAGCAGTAGCAGAAATGTTTGATTCTTTGCTGTGTTCAAGAGTAAACACTTGATGTCACCTTCCAATACCTGTCCAAATAGCCATTCCAATATGCAGTCATGAATGGGTTTACATTATTTATACTGTAGTTTAATAGCAAATAATGAACAAACAAAACACCACACAGTGGTGGGAGGGCTGGCTGCCAGTTGCGGGGGTCGGAGGGACTCACAGGTGGCGGGAAACTTAAAATGTGATTTGGCGGCTGGGAATTCGCGAATGTGTGAAGCATGCGAATGTTGAGGGAGACCTGTAATTCTTCATTTGTATATACTGCAGTATCATTTCTCTTATACCTGTCATGGTTTCACCTTTTCTTCTTACTTCATCATACACATGTCAGTACATGTAGAATAGTAAGCAAATGCACTTGTTTCTGCAGGAGATTGATGCTCTTCTAAGTGGAGGGTTGCTAACAGAGGAAGACGAGACTGCTGCGGAGGAAGAACTGGATGCCATTATTGCTGATGCTATTCAGAAACGGCTACCTGAGGCTCCCACAGATGTTGAGAATCCAGAAGTGGTGCTTCCTGATGTTCCTGAAACTCTGCCGGGTATAGTTTTTCCATGTGGTGGTTCAATCAGGTCATGCTTTAAATATGAATGCAATTTACATAACATGGTTAATTAGGCATCAGCACGAGCCTTTCCAATGCCCTACTATTTTATTTATTCATTCATTTATATGTGAAGATCTAAACCTGTGGGGGGTTGTTCAATGCAAGTGTGAAAGGCTTGAGGCTCCTTCTGTGTGGGAAGTCATTCACTGCAAGTAGTAGTGTATTATTATAATCAAAACCAAGGGTCAAACAGCACTGCAGGGCAGGGGGGGGGGTGCTGGAGCAGAGATAATAGTGGAGGTTCATTCTTTTGTTTTCTAATAATGGCCAGGTCTAATCAAGTAGGCTGTTTTGGAGCTATCTAGGACTCGAGAACAAAAGTACAAGATATTTCTCCCATTTGTTAGTAGATTTTGTGTACCTTTAAATTTGATATCAAGGAGAAGCACTAAACCTATGTAGCACTTAAGAACAGGAGGTAATCAGTTTGATTTAAGGAAACAGATCTCATGATTCCTGCTAGGGGAGCTGTTTCCATAGACCTGCCATCTGATGGACTGAAATCTAGTAGGCCTAGTCTTCAATGACAGCCCCCCTAGCAGGAGTTATAAGAAACTGGTATGAGGTAGGCATACTGTCTACAGGGAGGGATAGATCCAGTTGATGTCTTCCACTGTATTATAGGATAGTCTGAAGAGTTATCATTGGAAAGTGTATTTATGCTTCAGTATACAGAATATCATGGGAAGTGCTAATCCCATAGGGTTTATACAGTGCTTGTGGGGAAGGATGCAAGGAATTGGAGCACAGGTTCAGTACCCTAGATCAAGAGCCCCTCACCAATATAAAGGAACCTTCCTTGAGGGGTCAGTATAATAAATCTTCTTATCAAAATGTTAATGAAAGTATGTGTTCATAGGTTTCTCTCTTTCAGAGGCAGAGAAGAAGGTGCAGAAAGAAAAGGTTGCTATGGCGGCATCCTAATACTTGGCTTATGGTTCCCCATTCATATATGCTTCCTATGGGATTGCCTTGGCTCGAGTACCCTGAGTGCTGACTTTGCTAGACAGTGGTACATCAACAATATTCCAAGTACAGTATTCAGTGTAATAAATGATCTCCAATAAGATTGAATTTTATTAGGGCTCAAATATTTCGTTAAGATTGGCACAGTTCTTACATATTGCATCATTGCAGACATCTTTAAATGAAGTCAGCCAACAGTAATGATTTATAAATGCACTCATGAAGAATTATGTTAACCCCTTGCACACAAGACATTTTGTGCATGTCAGACTTCATATTTTTACCAAAAAAGTGGTAAAATATTTTTATATTTCCTCCATACCACACAAAACTGTTTTGAATGACATTAATAATTCTCAGTGTAGAAATTTTTTTTATTCCACATATGGTATAATGAATATCAATCAATTTTAGACACATTATTATATTTGCCACAAAGCAGTATAATTCAAACTCTAGTCTTGTTTAAGGTACTTTCTGCATAAACATTGATATATCTGCAACCATAAATGGGTAAATTACTGACAAGGATAACTAATATGACATTTTATTGTGACAATATTTTGCACTCTTGGAGAGAGAAATATTGCCATAATATAATATTAGTTGCATCTGTATCCATTTAACTAATGTTTTCTCAGTAAATGAAAAAGAATACTATATAAAACAAAAGGAACATGTGAAAGACTTTGGAATAATTATGTCAGCTGACCTTTCTCAAAGAATATAATAAGATAAAGGTCACGACAGGGTGGATATTGAGAACCTTAAAAACAAGGAAATAATGCCAGCAATGATATTTTTCAAATTTCTAGTGCTTCCTCATTTGGAACATTACTCCATGTTGACATCCTTGTTCAGGGCAGGAGAAAATAAAGATTATTTACAGCCAGTAAAGCATTTAAATTACTGGGAACACCTTAAAATCTTGAATACATACTCATTGGAGAGATACACCTGGAAAATACTAAAGGGCCTGGGTCCCAAATCTGCATGCTGGAGGAAGTGAAAAGCAGGAGTGCGGTGGGAACACCAACATCGATGGTCCCAGACTGTATCAAACACTGATGGGACAAGTGTATAAGTCTTCAAGAGGAAGTGACAAGTATCTTCACCAGGCTGTGATAGACACATGGGTCAACAGCCTGGCCCCTGGGAGTAGAAACTCTTGGTATTCATCAAAGGTAACAATCATAAATAATGGAAGTCTTTCACTTAATTTTGTACTGATAGTCACTTTTTATATCATTATAATGAAAGGTGCTATAAAAAATATATACTATCTCAAAGTGATGATTTTAATTAAATAATGCTGAGTACCTCTAAATTTATTTACCACTCGACAGTTTTCGGCTTTGCTCATTTATTACTTATTGAATACAGTAGTCTATGTCTTCCTCACAATATATTATATATCTATGGTGTGTTTTTAAGGTTGCCACATTAAGACAAAATGAAATTTCAATTGTTAAGAAACACAGGTTCCTATCTGTGGATGATGCAAGTGGTTTTTCTGAAACCAAGCATATTGGGTTTAGCACTTAGTTATCAGTTTAATAATAATATTACCAAGTATATGGCTTTCTTATTGTGTGATAACTGCAGTTAACACTGGTTGGAGTTCCTTTGTGGCTCAGAATTTATGACCCAGGAGTATTAAGCATCTTGGAAGGCACACTTCACAATGTGTGAAGTATGTCTTTTTTAAGTGCTAAACCCTAAAGATTATTATCATGGAGGAGCACTAAACCCACAGGGATTATGCATGACACTAAAGAGTTGTGTAATGTCTCATGGCTCGAGATAAGAGAGGCAGTGATTTTAAGGGAAGGACATTGGAAGAAAGTGAAGGGATTAGAATTAATGTAGTAAATCTGAAACTGAATTTTTTTTTTATTATAATAATGTGTTAAACCTACAAGGGTCTTAAGAAACCAAAGCTATGGTGTATATGCATGGAGCAAGCTTATGCTTTGAGGACAAAATATTTTCCTTTTGTGTGCAAGATAAAATTCTCTCAGGGTAATGAATTACATAGGATTACTATAATGTGTGCCTATTAGAATTTTGTATAGTATAAATATTGGCTGTTTAGCACCAGTGCAAGGGGTTGATATTTTACATAAAATTTTTCTACAAAACATTGGCTGGCAGAGCATAATCACTCAATTTGCTATTAACTGGAGTTTAATTTATATGTATTCTCTGATTTCAGACTGTGTTGATAAGACAATGTGATTTACAAAATATTTAACAATCATGAAGCAAAACCTGAATATTTTGATCACATGAAAAAAATGGTACAGTATTGAATTTTTGAGCAACATTAATTTTTATCATGCAGTAATATACTGATTACAGTTATTTTACATGTTGCAAGTCAATTAATTTGCCCAAATTAATTGTAATCTTTACTGTATATCATAATTAACCATTTGATTTCTGTATAACAATTATAAAAATATTTTTTTATCTACTAAAAAATAAAACGTCCAGTGTTACAGGTTGTAAAATGACCTAAACAGCATTTGTTCTAGTCTTAAATGTAAGTCTTATAAACCATACCATGGGTTCTAACCCCATCCTTGGTATGGTTTGTTTGCAATCATGTCATTACAATTTCGTGAGTTAAGTCTTATAAGCTTGATGATTTGTTTTGTACCTTGTAGAATGTTCTAGGATAAATGTGATATATTTATATGAACTCTCAATAAATAATTGTGTGATTTTCTTTTTATCATCCTTAGGTTTATTGATAACATTTTTAATTTACATTCATTATTGCTGTCATGAAAACCATATAGGTCATTTAGCACTATACAGCTGTGGTAAAAGTTGAAGTGCTTAGTCTGTTGGGGTCATACAGTGCATGGGGAATGAGAGAGTATGAGGTTTGATCTAAGGAAGAAGGGTAGGTCAAAGTCCTTGGACCAAGAGCTCTTCACTAGCATGAAGGTACCCTCCCTCCCCTTAAAGGGTTACACTAAATCCCAATAATACACAACCCACAGTTTATGACAACATTTCAGTGTGACTTTGTAAATGGTCCAAGTCAAACCGAAATGTCGTCAAACTTCCCCCTCCTATGTGCAGGTTATTTGTGTATTGTCACAGTATTGTGCCTTTTAGTTCTAAATACCAATAATGCTGGTGGCTAACGCTCTCGCTTCACACGGCAAGTGCCTGGGTTCGATTCCCAGCCAGAGTAGAAACATTGGGCGTGTTTCTTTCCACCTGTTGTCTATGTTCCCCATCAGTAAAATGGGTACCTGGGTGTTAGTCGACTGGTGTGGGTCGCATCTTGGGACACTGACCTAATTTGCCAGACATGCAGAGCATAACAAGGGGCTTTCTATATAGTAGTATGTCATTGTTGTCAGCTAGGCCTGTATACCATGTAGTAAATAAAGATATTATTGTTATTAAAGGTTGCAGCAGTTGTATCCTTTCCTTTGTTAATGTAAGATTTGTATTGTACAGGTGTCCCTCATTTTATGCTGGTGTTGCAGGTCCTTGGCATTAGTACTAAGCTCAGGCAATGATAAACAAAATATTCAATATGCTTTTGGTACTGCCAATTACCTACACATTACTGATAAACAGGGTATCAACACAACAGCAAATTCACATAAAGCATGAGAAACCTGTATTTTGTTTGCAAGATAAAGAAATTACCCACTAATGGGAGGGATGAGAGGGGCATCGCCTGTTGAGCTCTTGATACAAGGAATTTTGAGCTATCATCCCCTTCCCTGGATCAACCAATTACCTCATTTTTCAGCACTGCACAACTTTTATGAATCTACAGTTTTCCTGTGAATATTACAAAAAAAAAAAATTAACTTTCTAGTAAACATTGTTGTAATATATTCCTGTCTAAAAAAAATTGCTGGACTAATGATAAATGCAGTAATACTTTAATTTGAATGTTCTGTTTTGGTTTTGACTTTCAAATAGAGTTAGAGCTAAAGAAGGAGTAGCAATAATTTGAAGGATAAGTTATGGCAGGAAAAGAGGGACTATAAATGTATTAATTCAGGAATATGTGGAGTAAAATAAAGGTTGCATGTGAAAAGTGGGTTATAGTAAGCATATATGCACCTGGAGAAGAGAGAAGTGTAGAGGAGAGAGAGATATGGGAAATGTTGAGTGAATGCATAGGGAGTTTTGAACCAAGTGTGAGAGTAATGGTGGTTGGGGATTTCAATGCTAAAGTGGGCAAAAATGTTGTGGAGGTAGTAGGTAAACTTGGGGTGCCAGGGGTAAATCAAAATGGGGAGCCTTTAATTGAACTATGTGTAGAAAGAGGTTTGGTAATAAGTAATACATACTTTAAGAAGAGGAGGATAAATAAATATACAAGGTATGATATAGCACGTAATGAAAGTAGTTTGTTAGATTATGTATTGGTGGATAAAAGATTGATGGGTAGGCTCCAGAATGTACACGTTTATAGAGGGGCAACTGATATATCGGATCATTATTTAGTTGTAGCTACAGTTAGAGTAAGTTGTAGATACGAAAATGGCAAGAGGGAGGTGAAAGTGTATAAACTAAGGGAGGAGGAAGTTCGGGTGAGACATAAGCAACTATTGGCAGAAAGGTGGGCTGGTGCAAGTATGAGTAGTGGGGGGGGGGGGTTGAAAAGGGTTGTATGTTGTGTATCTTTATACGTATATGCTTCTAAACTGTTGTGTTCTGAGCACCTCTGCAAAAACAGTGATTATGTGTGAGTGAGGTTTAAGTGTTGAATGATGATGAAAGTATTTTCTTTTTGGGTCACCCTGCCTCGGTGGGAGACGGCCGACTTATTAAACCCATGGGAGTCATACAGCTGGTTTTTATAACAATACTTGTAAAGACTTATATTTGTTTACAAATTCACAGCCTTTAGTAAATATAGGGATATTTGCCATCTTTACAACTGTAGGGTATTATATTAATTTTTATTAACATACTGGCTGTTTCCCACCAAGGCAGGGTGACCCAAAAAAGAAGAAACATTCACACCATCACTGTCTTGCCAGAGGCATGCCTACACTACAGTTCAAAAACTGCAACATACCAACACCCGTCCTTCAGAGTGCAGGCACTGTACTTCCCACCTCCAGGACTCAAGTCCAGCTAACTGGTTTCCCTGAATCCCTTCATGTTACTTTGCTCACACTCCAACAACATGAGGGTCACAGAACCTGGAGAATGGGAAGCACTTAGGTTTTATCCAAGTAACGGTAACTCCAGTTTATTAAACAAGTATAATAGAACCTATTATACATATACTGTGGGTTTTTTAAATTATTACATTAATAGGGGTGCTGAACCTATAGGGGTCATACAGTACATGGAGAAATAGGTTATCAGTCTTGATCAAAGGAAGGGGAGGCCAGGTCCAATTCCTTGGATCAAAAGTCCCTCACCAGCACTGGGTTCTACAGAATTATGCAGCATTGTATGACCCTGGTGGGTTTAGCACTTAGTGTTGATGATGATAATTACAGAATTACCAGTTACTGTATAATACCCATACAATCCTCTGACAAATTCAAATCTTACCATGTTTTAATGAGCACATATTCAGTTTCACCCCAAGCTGCACATTTATTTTGACAAACATGGTGAAGTCAGACATTCTTACAGTTCATGCTGGACCTTTATCAGTTATGATTAGCACTTAGTTATAATTATCAGTTGAGACTTAATAATAGTCCAGAATGGACCAATACCTAAAGAAATTGTGGGTTATTAGTGAATGTTATGGTAACTTTAATGAAATATCATTTAAGCTTAATTTTTGTCTAATTTAATGATGTACTACCTATAATAATTATAATAAAATGTTCCAATATTAATTGCAAAAACATAGCAGAATACAAAATATAGAACAAAACCATGTCAATGTTTACAGAAGTCCTCACAAACCACCTCAACCTTTGTAATATATGTAATATTTTTTCCACCTTGTGTTACATTACTATATTATTAGGGAGGTAATCAGGTTTTATCAGAAGGGTTGGGTAGCTCTAATTCTTTTGATTAAGTGAATATATAACATGAAATACAGATGCCCTTTACTTTATGGAGTTTAGATGTCCCAGGCTCATAGCTTAAGCTTAGTACAGCTGCCATCACTCAAGATCATACAAGAATTTTAAATACACTGTGTGGACAAACTTGTATAGTGAATGTACAGGAGGGCCTCATATACACAGCTCCCACTTTACGGTGTTCCACGTTTTTGTTGGCCTTCAACTGTAACCTGCATGACCCACATAAGTTACTGTGTGAGCAGCTGGGTAATCAAAGTTCAAGTACGTAAGAAGCCTCCTTCAAAGGAAGTGCCATGATGCTGGAAATGAGATCTTGATTTAGGAAAGTAGAGCTATTCTACCACTCTCAAAGCAAACTTGACTGCCTCTGATTTCCTATGCGCTATGGCCCCTATGGGTTGGACATTTTGCCATGAATAATAATTAAAAGTTTTGCTCCCAAAGAATAAGCCTTGTACACAACCTATTACACACTGAAATTCATAACAATCATTCGTGAAAAAATATTTATGCACGATCTACAAAAGACAATATTAGGAAACAAAAACATACATTAAGGGAGGTAACGCAGAGTATGGAAGATAAACAATACTGTGCTTGAAGTCATGATAATGGAACAAGGAACAATATTGTGCATGGAACACTTAGAAAACAGGAACAATGGGTGGTAAATAATTCAAAGCAAATAGTGACAGAGTGAAATGTTTGAAAAACAGAAACAACAGGAGAGAAACATTAACAGCAATACTCTATACACAAGGAAGCTGAAGCTAAAAAAAAAAAAAAGAGTCAAGCTACAGGAGCAAGGACAAGGAAGAAGGAGAAAAGTGAAGCAACAAAAGTAATACAAACACATCAGTGAAAGAGCCTATGATCACACTACTCATCATTCATGAAGAACAAGTCCAAAATATAAAAAGGTTAAAACTCCAAACAAAATAAAGCCTAACATGATCTACAAAATACACACCATATCTTAACTTCACAAAATATTCTAAATTGCAGTAAAGTAAATATTAGAGTACTGCAAGTCCTCGATTTACGAACACGTTGAGAATCTTGTATTGCGTATATCATTATTACACATACAGTGTATCATTATTATATCTTCTTTCTTTCAACATACCAGCCGTATCCCACCGAGGCGGGGTGGCCCAAAAGAAAAAACTAAAGTTTCTCTTTTTAAATTTAGTAATATATACAGGAGAAGGGGTTACTAGCCCCTTGCTCCCGGCATTTTAGTCGCCTCTTACAACACGCATGGCTTACGGAGGAAGAATTCTGTTCCACTTCCCCATGGAGGTAAGAGGAAATAAACAAGAACTAGAAAGAAAATAGAAGAAAACCCAGAGGGGTGTGTGTGTGTATATATATGCTTGTACATGTATGTGTAGTGTGACCTAAATGCAAGAAGAAGTAGCAAGACATACCTGAAATCTTGCATGTTTATGAGACAGACAAAAGACACCAGCAATCCTACCATCATGTAAAACAATTACAGGCTTTCGTTGTACACTCACTTGGCAGGACGGTAGTACCTCCCTGGGTGGTTGCTGTTTACCAACCTACTACCTAGATCATTATTATATATTATACACAATTCAGGAGGTCCCCAGTGTGTTTTTAAGTCGAGGACTTACTGTACTGGTAGCAGGTGGAAGACTGGGCCTCCATTACTACCTAGCACTGACTCACCCCTTCCCGGGGTTTCTATTCATGAACTTTCGTACATGTAAGGCAGCATTTGACTAGAAAATACTTTTGGTTTAGTAAACCTGTATCAGCAATTAGGTTCAAAACCTATAACTATCAACTAGATTTACTTAACATATGTTACAATTATCTGAAGATACTGTATTTATAACTGCCTAGTATACACTGAAAATTAAGCACTTTAGTAACAGGTAATATTTCAGCACAGTTCTGAAGGAAAAAACACTGACTTACAAAAATATGTTTAGCATTTTTGCAAAAATTCTAACCTACAACTTCCACTTCTAGAAAGATAATCTAGAGAGTGATCAGAGATGATCTAAGTCAAATGTTTCAGACTATACAGGTATAATACTCACAGGTATGGATCTGAAAATGCAATATACATTACAAGCTTTCACTGCAGCAACATTCCATCCAGGGTATAGCTTTATCAGGTCTGGACATCGAGAGAAACAGTCTTGATAAAATCTTTACTCTGCATGTTGTATCGTTAATTTGCTTTAAAAAGATGAAAAGGGACTCAAATTAATCATACAACAAAGAATGTGTTACACTTAAAATGTACATTAATTATTAAATTTGTACTGTAGGTAAACAAATTAAATACGTAAATTTAACTAAGCTACAAGTCTTTCAACAGCAGCCAAACTGCACTTTTAATAATGTAAAGCTACTGGCCATATATAAAACTACTGGAAAATAACTACCTGAAGATGGTATGAAAACATTAAGGAGAGAAATGTGTTCCCCTGACAAGGAAACACTTTGTTCATACATCTTAAGTAACATTTGAAACACCCATCACTAAGTCTTAGTAAACCTTCATGGTAATAGAATGTTTTTACAATATGGAGACGGTTCATGGTTCTTCCATTTCATTTAAGCTGACTACTGAACATGTATATTCCAGTCAACTTGTAGCTGCTGGGGAAAACAAGTTCAAAGCAGGAAATTAATCGTCAGTGTTCTTATGTGGTGATGAATATCTGTCGTCAGTTCTATCCACTTGTGTGAATTTTTGCACATTTAAAATAAAAAGAATTTCTAACCCTGATATATATTTTTTATATAATCACATGTATTGAAGGCACGGTCTCTCCTTACACATCTCAATTTTTTCAATTAGTACTAGTATTAACAATATATGAACACAAATTTCTATTAGAAAATGCACTTAAATTACTGTTTGCACTAAAAGGCACCTTAAATTGGATTTAATAAATTATTTACTACAATTTCTGTGTAGCAAATAAAATTCTACTCGACTAGCAAAAGTAAATCACAGTCAAAGAGCACACACACACACCTGAGTGTCAGACTCCTCTCCAACTTCCATCATCTCATCTTCTGTATCGTCAGCATTGTCTGGTAGCTGCCCAGTACTGCAACCAGTATGCTCATGAAAATACACTATTGTACTATCCATTGCTACTGGACTCTCCATGTTATCTGACTGAAGAGATTGCATTTCCTCATCTCCAAACTGAATTTTATTATCAAAGCTTTCTATGACCTCAAGTGTTGTATATTTGGATGCATTTGTAATATTTATCAGCTTTTTCTTTTTGACTATAATGGTTTCCTCTCCTCGTAGTTCAACAAGCCTGGTCCTCACTTGGTCAGCGATGATAAAGAGGTTTTCAGGACTGAGACTTGGGTTTTCAGTAAGGGCTTGATATCGACACTTACTTGAATACTTATTTACAGCTCCCTGCACCACCATGTGAAACAGGCCATTGAAGACCAAAAAAATACAACAGGTTAAAATCAATTGTGAACTCATCAATGCAAAGGTTTTATCACAATGTACCCCAGCAGCTAAAATTTTAATATACTTGTACAAAAGAAACTGTATGTGGAATATGAAGAGACTTGTCATAGTTACAAAGTTATCAAGTACAGTGGTCCCTTGTTTATCGTCGTTAATTCGTTCCTGGAAGTGCGACGATTACCGAAATAGACGATTTTCAAATCAATTTTCCCCATAAGAAATAATGTAAATACAATTAATCCGTTCCTGACACCCAGAAGTATTAAAACAAAAAATTTTTTACATGAAATATAGATGTAGTACATAAACAATACAATGGGACATGATGAATGAAACATTAATAGTATAACACTTACCTTTATTGGCGATTCTTCTTAGTGTATGGAAGACTGGAGGAGGAGACAGATTGGATTAGTTACTGTTTGGAAGGGGAATCCCCTTCCATCAACACCTCAGGTACCAAGTCCTTTTCTGGGGTTACATACTTCTCTTCTCTGTTTCTTAATGCCACTAGGACCAGCTTGAGAGTCACTGGATTCTTGTCTCGCAAAAGAAGTGTCCAGAGAGCTCTGTTTCTGGCGTCTCTTTAAAACTTCCCTAAAATGGGCCAAGACTATGTCACTGTGCAAGTTGCCGATATGGCTTGCAACATCCTTCTCAGGGTGATGTTTCTCCATAAATCTTTCCATCCTACCCCACATTTCAAAAATCTCCTTAATTTCTGAAGAAGGCACTCTCTTCCTCCTCCTCTGCAGTAAGATTCTGAGCTGCAATCTGTTGCTGTTCCTGCTGAAGCTCTTGCAGCTCCTCAGTGGTTAGCTCTTCATTGTGGTCCTCCATCAACTCTTCCACATCCTCCAAACTCACATCCAACCACATGGAACTCCCCAATGCCACAATAGATTTCACAACTGACTCAGGGTCATCCACAAACCCTTCAAAATCCCTCTTGTGGACACAATCTGGCCACAATTTTCTCCAAGTAACAACAACTTCCTTGATTTCCTTTTTCTTTGTCACGATGGATGATATGGTTGTATGGGGTTTGTTATACATCCTGGCCAGTTTGGCGACACGTACGCCACTTTCATATTGTTCAATGATGCTTTTCTTAAATTCAATCGTATTTCTCACCTTCTTTACCAGAGACTTGGCACTAAGAGCTTTCTTTGGAGCCATGGTAGCTTATTTAGCACTTGCAAGCACTAAAAGGAATGGAATATTATGAAATATTTCGTATGAACAAGTGAGGACACCGTCACTCACTGGTAAACAATGGCACACTGGCTGGGAAGGGAGGCCGAGGCGGCTCAGAGCCGTCGGTATGCGTCCAGGACGAACGACGATTAGAGAATCAACTGACCATTTGCGAGCCAATGTTTGGACGAAAATAGCTCGATGATTTCCAAAAAGGACGATTATCGAGGGACCACTGTATTTATCAAGGCATTTATTAAGATAACTATTATATATGCAATAATCATTGACAAGACTGATCTTAACGGACACACTAAAGAGTGTGAATTAGTGTCTTGAAGTTCGCTGATAAACCAGTCAGATCATAAATGAAAAGGTTTCAGATTGAACTGAGGTCGACGGAGACGTAGGGGCAAGTCTCTGCAAAGATTGTGGATTTCTCATCCACCACAAAGCAACTCAAAGTAATATCAACCATAGCTCGCCAGTGATCCTAGCATGCACAACCAAGCCTCAGTAACATTGTGGTTGGTTCCAGAAGAAAAATTACTTAAAAAATAAAAGAATAAAAGTGAGCTATGCTTTCAAGCAAAATTTCTCATTTTCTTAAACCACACTTAAGAGAGGAAACTTTAGACACTGTCAGTCCATCCAGACCATTATTAAGTCACATCTCAGCAAGTAAAAACAAAGAAACCAAGAAGATAGGTTGGGAAAAAGGTGGTGGTGATAGTAGCCTAAATAGTATGGCAATAATAATAGTACAGATAGCAGTACTCTGTAATGAGAAAAAACATTAAAAATATTGTAATAACAGGGCATATATATTACTGTGCATCTCAAGGGGGCAGAGAATAAGGCAACATCAGCCTCTTACTAACATCCACAAGAGGCTGACAAAGAGCTAGAAGAAAAGAGGTGCACATGAGGTTTAATTTATCCTCTTCACTATTTCTTCAGTACTATAGTTATTTTGATTACATTTTACTACTACTACATTTCTATTTTACTACTAGAGCTACTATTATTTCTATTATATTTGCCGTTACTCCCATTACTACAGTACTACTAAATTCTTCATCCCTCATCCCAATCTGTCTTCTGATCTCTGCCTTTTCTCACTCAGTTGTGACTGAGTGGTGTTCCAGGATGGATTGAAACATTGTTTAAAAGTTTTTTCATATTCATTCATGTTCATATAGTTTATCTGGACATGATACATAGTTGTACAAGGAATTATAGTAGTTGGGTGTACATGCAAAAAGCCCCTTGTATGCAGAGTATTATGGGCAGACTTAAGATTAACTAAGCAATGATATATTCAGTGGTAAAAACATTATTGTAAACAGATAATTTACCACAAATGAGTATTATAAAGACAGGTCATATGGTCATTTACTGTGTTGCTGTGCATTCAATAGAATGGAGTATTCTATTAGGTAATGTAATTAAAAAATAACAGTTTGATTGGGTCACAGGTTAGACATTTATGAGATACAATAATGAGAAACATTTATGAGATACAATTATTCAGTATTTATTTAGTTGTGGGCGAGTAAGTGATTTTTGAGAAGAGACTTGAGTTTTTAAACAGACAGTGTTTCTTTTATATTTGCAGGTAATGAATTCCAGATTTTAGGGTCCTTTTATGTGCATTGAGTTTTTGCATAGCATGAGGTGGACATGAGGAACATCAAAGAGTGATCTGTGCCTTGTGTCATGGTCATGTGTTCTGTTGAGGTTGGTAAGGAGACGTTTGAGGGGAGGGTTTATATCAGAGTTAAGTGTTCTATGTATGTAGTAGGTGCAGTAAAAAGTATGGATGTTTTGTATGGTGAGTAGGTTTAGGTTTTGAATACTGGTGGAGTGTGCTGCTTGTAGTGGGAATTTATCATTATTCTGACTGCAGCCTTTTGTTGGGTAATTAATGGTCTGAGATGGTTTATTGTTGTTGAGCCCCATGTACAAATTCCATAGGTGAGATAGGGGTAAATAAATGAGTGATATAGGGCCAGGAGGGCTGACTATGGAACACAGTACCGTATCTTCAATAGTATGCCTACGGTCTTGGAAATTTTCTTGGAAACTTGTTGTATATGTGTTTGAAATTTGAGTCTATTATCAAGGTGGATTCCTAAGAATTTTCCCTCTGTTAGCTTTGTGATAGGTGATCCGTTTATCATTATGTTAAGAGGGACGTCTGTAGCTCTGTTACCAAACTGAATGAAGTAGGTTTTGTCAATGTTTAGAGTAAGTTTGTTAGTCCTCATCCAGGTAGATATTTTCTGTAATTTGGTATTTACAGTACAGTGGACCCCCGCATACCGTTGGCCTTACATAACATTAAATCCGCATACCGATACATTTTATCGCTAAGATTTTGCCTCGCATACCGCTAAAAAACCCGCTCAACGCTGTTCATCCGAGACGCGTCTAATGTGCGGCCTGAGCCAGCCTCACATGTTCCGCCGGTGGCATTGTTTACCAGCCAGCCTCCGCGGTAACATCCAAGCATACAATCGGAACATTTCGTATTATTACAGTGTTTTTGGCGATTTTATCTGCAAAATAAGTGACCATGGGCCCCAAGAAAGCTTCTAGTGCCAACCCTACAGCAATAAGGGTGAGAATTACTATAGAGATGAAGAAAGAGATCATTGATAAGTATGAAAGTGGTGTGCGTGTCTCCGAGCTGGCCAGGTTGTATAATAAACCCCAATCAACCATCGCTACTATTGTGGGCAACAAAACGGCAATCAAGGAAGCTGTTCTTGCCAAAGGTTCAACTGTGTTTTCGAAACAGAGATCGCAAGTGATGGAAGATGTTGAGAGACGCTTATTGGTATGGATAAATGAAAAACAGATAGCAGGAGATTGCATCTCTCAAGTGATCATAAGTGAAAAGGCTAGGAAGTTGCATCAGGATTTAATTAAAAAAATGCCTGCAACTAGTGATGATGTGAGTGAATTTAAGGCCAGCAAAGGTTGGTTTGAGAGATTTAAGAAGCGTAGTGGCATACATAGTGTGATAAGGCATGGTGAGGCTGCCAGTTCGAACCACAAAGTAGCTGAAAAATATGTGCAGGAATTCAAGGATTACATAGACAGTGAAGGACTGAAACCTGAACAAGTGTTTAATTGTGATGAAACAGGCCTGTTTTGGAAGAAAATGCCAAGCAGGACCTACATTACTCAGGAGGAAAAGGCACTCCCAGGACATAAGCCTATGAAAGACAGGCTTACTCTGTTGATGTGTTCCAATGCTAGTGGTGATTGCAAAGTGAAGCCTTTATTAGTGTATCACTCAGAAACTCCCAGAGCGTTCAGGCAAAAGAATGTCCTCAAGGCTAATTTGTGTGTGCTGTGGAGGGCAAACAGTAAGGCATGGGTCACTAGGGACTTTTTCTATGACTGGTTACACCATGCATTTGCCCCCAATGTGAAAGATTACCTAACTGAAAAGAAATTAGACCTTAAGTGCCTCCTGGTGTTAGACAATGCCCCTGGTCATCCTACAGACGTGGCAGAGTGACTTTATGGGGACATGAGCTTCATTAAGGTGAAGTTTTTGCCTCCTAATACCACTCCTCTCCTGCAGCCCATGGACCAGCAGGTTATTGCAAACTTCAAAAAACTGTGCACAAAAGCTCTGTTTGAAAGGTGCTTTGTAGTGACCTCAGAAACTCAACTGACTCTAAGAGAGTTTTGGAGAGAGCACTTTAATATCCTCAATTGTGTAAACCTTATAGGTAAGGCTTGGGAGGGAGTGACTAAGAGGACCTTGAACTCTGCTTGGAAGAAACTGTGGCCAGAATGTGTAGACCAAAGGGATTTTGAAGGGTTTCAGGCTAACCCTGAGAGGAGTATGCCAGTTGAGGAATCCATTGTGGCATTGGAAAGTCCTTGGGGTTGGAGGTTAGTGGGGATGATGTGGAAGAGTTGGTGGAGGAGGACAATGAAGAACTAACCACTGATGAGCTGCTAGATCAACTTCAACAGCAAGAGGCCAGACCTGAGGAAACTGGTTCGGAGGAGGGGAGAGAGAAATTGAAGAAGTTGCCTACTACAAAGATTAAGGAAATCTGTGCAATGTGGCTGAAAGTGCAAACCTTTATGGATGAAAATCACCCTCACACAGCTATTGCAAGCCGTGCTGGTGACTATTACACTGACAATGTTGTGAAACACTTTAGGGAAGTCATAAAGGAACGAGAGGTACAGGCCACTATGGACAGATATGTTGTGCGACAGAAGTCCAGTGACTCTGAAGCTGGTCCTAGTGGCATTAAAAGAAGAAGGGAAGTAACCCCAGAAAAGGACTTGACACCTCAAGTCTTAATGGAAGGGGATTCCCCTTCTAAACACTAAGACTCTCTCCTCCTCCCATCCCATCAATCATCACCAGATCTTCAATAAAGGTAAGTGTCATGTAATTGTGCATGCCTTTTTCAGTTTGTGTGTATTAAAATTAATATTTCATGTGGTAATTTTTTTTTTTTTCATACTTTGGGGTGTCTTGCACGGATTAATTTGATTTCCATTATTTCTTATGGGGAAAATTCATTCGCATAACGATAATTTCGCATAACAATGAGCTCTCAGGAACGGATTAATATCGTTATGCGGGGGTCCACTGTATTGGCAAGCGTGACTGGGCTCGGGTGAGAGAAGAAGTATGTAGTGTCATCTGCAAATAGTGTGGGTTTGAGTAGTTGTGATGCATTTGGTAGGTCATTTATGTATATGAGAAAGAGAAGAGGGCCTAGGACACTTCCCTTTGGGACTCCAACTGTAATTGGCTGTGCGGAAGAGTTTGCCCCATTTGTGTACACCTATTGGCTTCTGTTGCTGAGGTAAGACTTTAGGTAGTTGAGGGAGTGCCCTCTTATACCATAGTGCGACAATTTTATATGGAGCAATGATCCACAATGGATTGAAACACTGTCATGAGCTCCCTCTCCTTGGTGCAGGTGTTCAGTGAACTGTTCATACATTCCATCAAATTCAGTTAATGACAAGAAATACTCAACCACAAAACACAAAACGAAGAACTTCACATGAGCCTGTATCTAAACACTCAAGGCCTCCCACGCACATGGTGTATTTATGGCAATGGCAAGAGAAGTAGCGAGCTTTACCTGGAAGGGAGAATGACTTCGGTTGGCCAGTGCCTCCAGCATGCGTAGGCTCGTTGATATTACTACCACCTCGTTTAGGCTGCTCCAGTCAGTGACCATTATGGTGGTGGAGAAATGGTGGTAGATTTAGAAAATATTTCTATCTTATAGTCATGGAGAAATGCTAAAACATTACAGACAGTTGGTATTGATACTTCTACCTACACAAAATATTACTGTAATTAATACTGTACAAAGCCAAGAGAGGAATTAGCTGACTTACCTAAAGTACTCTGGCATGAATAAGAATAGTGGTACCACAGCCCTGGCTCCTCTGAGAACTCTGAGGGCACCATACAGTGCTCCAGCAGCCAAGAGGGAAGGCCTGGTCTCAAGGGGCCAAGGCTCCACTAACACACTTTCCACAAGAAACCCACAGCACCAAGCCACCTGCAGCAACACTATCATAAATACTGTTACCCTCTGGAACACATCTTAGAAAGTATTTGCCCAGCACCCATTGCAGCCTCCCAGAAAGGATTATTGTTCTAATGTATTATCATTAATTTATTTGGGAAATGCTAAACTCCTGGGAGTCATGCAGTGCCTCCTGAATGAAAGGTGATTATGCTTGATCCAAGAACAGGGAGAGTAGCATATGTCAAGAGCCCTTCAATGGCATCAAGGGTATACTGCATTTACCTGAAGTGTTAAATTTATTGCAGGCAGGGGCAGCATCAAGGTGGGCTGAAGCCCCACAAAAAAAAAAAAAAAAACAAGTATTAACTTCCCCCAAGCCCTCAAATAAAAATAATAACACTGCTTCAAGACAAATTCCCTAGCCATCTCTTCCAACCCAGGCTGCTAACTCTAAGCCTCTCCTTTATAAAACCTTTGGAAGCAGCCCTGATTGTAGGTCATTCAGTGCCGGCAGTAGTAGAGGTTTGATCTCTGTCTTCTTGCAAGATGGTCACTATTCGTGTAAACAGGACTCTTGCAGGAAGATTATTATTCCAATTATTAACCCTGGAGGGTTACTAATGCAAGAAAGCCAAGCAGTGTACTATACATGGCATCTCACCACTGGTACAAAAGAAATTAATCATGGCACAAATATTTCATCAACAATAATAGCTCCAACACACTACCTTCCCTTTAGGCAAGTGCATTGTATTAGTGAAGGGATTTTGAGCCAAGGAATTGTACCTGCCCTCCCTTTGCTTGGATCAACCCACCAACCACTCTTGTTATCCAAGAGCTGTATGGTCCATATGGGCCTCGTGCTTTACATGAATATAATAACAAATTAATCTGCTGCATCCACACTGTTCACTTGCCCAACATTTAAAAATTAAGTGCTGTAGTAACAGATTCATACCCAAGAAATGCAGGCTAATATTTTAAATAGAAATCAGTCAAAACTTAACACAAAGAATAAATACTGTATATAGAATAAGAGATGAGTGTAAAATGTATAAAAATTAAATGCTGATGTACTGGCATAAGAACAAACAAGTGACAGCATGGCTAACTTAAAATATAAGTAGCAGTAGCAATATTAAAAACAAAGATTTAAGAGCACAGAAAGTTAAAAGTCTCAATACAGGAAGATCCCACTTATATGGCAGGTTAGGTTCTGGGTTACTGCTGTAAAGCGAAAATCGACTGAAGAGGCCTACTGTGTATGCAAAATGTTTCAGAATAAAGATACCTAACTGTTGAACATGTGTCTTACTTATTGATTTGGATAAGCTTGACTCACCATCTGGTCCTGGGAGTTGCAGGTGAGATAGAGGAAGTAGTTGAGGAAGATTGAGGGATCAGCATAGGTCACCTGAAAGTTTACCACCACCAACACTTGTCTCTCTAAGGACAGCAGTTCAGCATGTGTATACAAGTCTAGAGTTAATTGTAGGAGCCGAGACGTCTGTGTGATATGCAGCCAGGTTTTGAACATGCAAGAAAAATATGTAGAATGGATTAACTCATGAAATCATAACATGATTGCAAACAAACAACAGCATGGGTGAGGATACGCACTGGCCTGCAGTTGTACGAATTCCTTACCATGGGTTCTAACCCCACCATACCGTGGTTTGTTATAACAGATTCAATGTGTTTCTTTAAGATATTTCCCAATGCTCATTCATTCCTCTTAATGGAATAAAAGTTAAAATTCTGGTGTGCAAGAGCCATGACAAAACTTACTAAAAAACTAATACGTAAATCTGGAGATGGGAAGTACAGTGCCTGCACTCTGAAGGAGGGGTGTTAATGTTGCAGTTTAAAAACTGTAGTGTAAAGCACCCTTCTGGCAAGACAGTGATGGAGTGAATGATGGTGAAAGTTTTTCTTTTTCGGGCCACCCTGCCTTGGTGGGAATCGGCCGGTGTGATAATAAAAAAAAAAAAAAAATCTGTTCCTAACCAGCCAGCCTATCCTTCGCTTATCCTTCATTCACTGGAATTCCTTCAGAGTGTCCTGATGCTGAAGGGCTACTTATCCATTATTATAATCATGAGGGAGAGCTAAACCTGCATGATCATACAGCACCTGTGGGGAGGGAGGTGATGGAAGGTATTAATGGAACTGGAGCACAGATCCAATTCCCTAGATCAAGAGCCCCTCACCAGCATCAAGGAACCTCCCTTGAGGGGTGTTTATCCAAAAGACTGAAGCTACCCTCCTCTTCCTTGGATCAAACCTAATTATTTCATTCCCCCAGGTGCTATATGACCCATACCATTTAGTTCTAATCACAGGACTATGATCATGATGTGTGTTCACCTCAATGGGCTCTTTTTCCTCTAACTTGGAGACAATGAGGAGAGCAGTGATAGCGAGGAGTTGGACCCTAGGTACAGGGACACAGCGGACCTCCAGCACCCGGTCCACCAGCGCCACACTCTGGTACAGCGTCTCCTGCGACACCTCCAGGTAGCTCTGCTGACAAAAATGATATTCCAGGTGAAGCCCTTATTACGTGAAATCTTTGGGGTAATAAGTAAAAAGTGGTATGCTCGATCCTCCGTTCATTCATGGGATAGACAATCTACCTAACAACTGTATACTCAGGGTTAGTTGATTCTGTGTGGGAAAGTCTGTTTCGCTGCTTGTGAGGCTGACAAGTCTGACAATGCTGAGAGGATGACTCCACTTTCCCTGCACCAGGATTATCCATCTCCTGCACCAGGATTATCCATCTCCTGCACCTGGATAACCACTTTCTTTGCCCATGCCTTTCCCATACCCCTCAATGCTTCCCCCATCCCCTCAGTGCCTCACCCTAACCCTTGGATGTGCTGAATTCCCTAAACAGTACCTCACCTGAACCTGAATAAGCCAATCGACAAGGATAGCACGAGTACGCTGGTTCACAGAAGGATGGCTACCCACATAGCTGTGCCTCATGACGTAGCGGGCCTCCACCTCCAATAGGTACCTCATCACTTCCTGTAGGTAAAATCTGTGGAAAGTGCCTCATTATATTCAAAAAGAAGCAGTGAACCCATATGGGGTAGATATATTAGCAGCTGATATGATCCCACGTGAGCAATGCAAACCTACTGATCATGGGAGACTACCATGCAGAGAATTTGGAGCTGCACTGCACAGTGGCAAAGAAATGTTGTGGGCTAAGATGTTGGAGGTGGTGATGGGGGAAACTGCCAGCATGTCAGGGACACACAGAGAGAGAAAAGGAGATGAACCAGCAAGGATGGACCTAGTATTCACCCTGAGTGAATCTGTCGTGGATGACAGAATATGAGAAGGCCCCTTCCCTCGATGCTAGCAACCACACAGTACTAAGCTTCAAATACCTTAAGAAAGTACATGTATGCAATTGACAAGCATGGCATGGTAAGAAACCAGGAGAAACCAGACTTCAGAAGAGAAGACTACATAGGTAGGAGACAATTCTTGAAAAAAGTGTAATGGAAAGGGAAACTGGAAGGAAAAACAACGAATGAAAGGGTGAGAATGTAGCTTGAAAGTGTTCCTGGTTCACCCAGAGGTGCAGAAAAGCAAATGCTAAAAGTGAAAGAGCATGGAAAACATAAAAAGCAAATAGAGGAAATAGGGAAGTGAGCAAAAGACCCAGAAACGAATACACACAGGTAAGAAGAGAGGATTAGAGATAATTTGAGAATAACATCAGAAGCCAAATCTGAACCAAAGTTGCTATACAGTCACATTCAAAGAAAGACAACAGTAAAGAACCAGGTAACAGGGCTGAAAACAGGAAGAGTGATTACAAGGAGCGACCAGGAAGTTTGCAAGGAGCTGAACAAAAAAAAATTAAGAGAGTGTGCATATATATACACAACAGGGAAGGGAAGTAATAACTGAGCGAGCTGATACTTCGAAGACAATGGGACCAGATAATGTATCTCCGTGGAGTCTGAAAGAGGGTGCAGAGGCACTGTGTGAGCCACTAAGCAAAGTTTTCAACAAGTTTTTAAGTGATATAGAGCAACTACCAGAGGTGTGGAAGGCAGTATTTACGAAAGGAATAGACTGGTGGCATTAAACTACAGGCTAGTGTCACTGACATGCTCAGTACGTAAGATTATGGAGAAGATAATCAGGAGAGGAGCGGCGGATCATCTTTAAAGGTATTCACCACCACCTCGGTTTTAGAAATGGTAAATCCTGTCTCTCAAACTTACTAGAATTCTATGACAGGGTAACAGAAGTGAGGCACAGGAGAGTACAAATAGTCTAATATAAATGTGTTAGTACAACGCCTGGGGAATGGGAGGCATCGGGTTTGATTCAAGGAAAAGGTAGCTCCAATTCCTTTGTCAAAGAGCTCTCCACCAACATGAAGGAACCCCACCATCATTTCTTGAGAGTAAGATTTAAGTAATGGCGGAGCTTCACACACCTCCTCATAGTCAACATTGAAGTATGGATGATAACCAGTGGGACAACTGCTGCTGCTGCTCAGGTGATCACCTGCGGATTAGATTAGATTTTGCCACCGAAGTGGCTAGTTTATTGCGGAGCACAGAGCACGTGGTACATAATGCCTAATGCACCTAATAATAGTCAAACCAACATACTGTTTTAAGACATATATATATATATATATATACAGTGGACCCCCGGTTCGCGATGCTATCGGTATCCGATAAATCCGGTAACCAATGCATTATATCGCAGAAAATTTGCCTCGCTTCCCGATACAAAACCCGGTATGTGATGTGGTTCGTACGAGACGTGTCCATGTGTGGCCTGAACTGCCCGTGTGTGCCAGTGTTCACAAGCCAGCCAGTGTGCACGCATCTAAGGATACATTCGGTACATTCCATATTATCACTGTTTTTGGTGCCTGTTTTTGCAAAATAAGTCACCATGGGCCCCAAGAAAGCTCCCAGTGCCAACTCTTCGAGACCAAGGGTGCTAATGACTGTTGAAATAAAGAGATAATTGCAAAGTACGAAAGTGGAGTGCGTGTGTTGGAGCTGGTCAGGTTGTATAGTAAACCCCAATCAACCATCTCTACTATAGTGAGCAAGAAAGCAGCAATCAAGGAAGCTGTTCTTGCAAAAGGTGCAACTGTGATTACGAAACAGCGACCGCAAGTGTTAGAAAATGTTGAGAGACTGTTATCGGTGTGGATAAATGAAAAACAGATAGCAGGAGATAGCATCTCTCAAGCAATCATTTGTGAAAAGGCTAGGCAGTTGCATGACGATTTGGTAAAGAAATTGCCTGCAACTAGTGGTGATGTGAGTGAATTTAAGGCCAGCAAAGGTTGGTTTGAAAGATTTAAGAATCGTAGTGGCATACATAGTGTGATTAGGCATGGTGAGGCTGCCAGTTATGTTGTGCAACAGAAGTCCAGTCACTCTCAAGCTGGTCCTAGTGGCATTAAAAGAAGAAGGGAAGTAACCCCGGAAAAGGACTTGCTACCTCAAGTCCTAATGGAGTGTCAATTATTCTTTTGTTATTTATTGTTATTGTAATTACTATTCTATTGCATTAAACTTAATATTTCATGTGGTAAGTTTTTTTTTCATACTTTTGGGTGTCTTGCACGGATTAATTTGATTTCCATTATTTCTTATGGGGAAAATTGATTCGCTTTCTGATATTTTTGGCTTACGATGAGCTCTCAGGAACGGATTAGTATCGCGAACCGGGGGGTCCACTGGGGCAGGGCAGCTAGTTTTCTGTTCCAGCGGCTCAGTGCGGCTGTTCAAAGGGGTAATGCCTGCTGTATTTTGGGCACACGCCCCAGCTCTGAGGAGCTGGGTGAGGTTTTCGCCTTATAATCGGTGATACACACCTAACAACATGTACCTTATATGCCACACACACATATATATGCATATGCATATATAATATATAATATATATATTATATATATATATATATATATATATATATATATATATATATATATATATATATATTAATGTAAGACTAAAGAGCAAAATGGCATATTATTATAATCAAGGGGGAAGCACTAAACCCGTAGGATTATACAGCGCCTGTGGGGGGATGGGAGATATTCAGGGAACTGGAGCACAGATTCAGTTCCCTAGATCAAGAGCCTCTCATCAGCATCAAGGAACCTTCCTTGAGGGGCAAAAAGGCATAATACCTTTTTTTTGTTCGTAATCTGCCTTTTCTATAAACTATTTTTATGAATATATAAAAGAACGGAGGGGGACTTGAACCGTGGTCCTGGCATGTAGCTGGCCCAACTCTGTGCCACATCCATTACGACTTAAATTGAGCGTATTTTAAAGAATGTTTAATCTTAAATCTGCCAAAAATGCATTACATAGCTCTGGGCTTTTCCATGTATGATAAACCTGTATATTAACTTTAATTAAAACTATGCAGTTTCCCCTCAAAGAAGGTTCCTTGATACCGGTAATAATGCCTTGGTTCAATGAACCGGACCTCCCCTCCCTTGGATCAAGCCTTCCCATTCCCCAAGGCCCCATGACTCCTACATATTTAACGCTCCCCTATGACTACTAATAAAACTACCAAAAACGAAACTCGTAATAAATGGTTTTGCATATTTTTACCAGTCGTATTACCACTATTATTATTAAAAGAGGTAATCCTGTTGTGTCCATACAACGCCTGAATATGAAAGCAAAAAGTAGACTAAAAAGTACATTAAAAACTCACCAGGTAACAGGAGGACTTCATCCTGGATGGTCTCTGACCGTCGTCGCTTCTGGTACGGCTGGGGTGTCCTCACTCCTTCCACTCTCTTGGTCACCCTCCTGGGGCGTCCACACACCACAGAACGTCCACCCTGTTGCCGGGTTACAATCTGACTTGATTGAGGCGGGTTTTTACTTCTTACAAGAAGTGCCTTTTTCGTTAAAACTTGTGGTGGATTGGTATGCTGGAGCGACCTGAGTGGTCTCAGGGGCTGGGGTTGCCCAAGTTGGGCACTCATCTTACACTCTTGGCCGCTTATATCATCTTGTAATGGCATCTGAAGCAAGCAGGAACTCCTGTTACCCATGGAGACGTTACTCTGAGCTGGATAGTGGAATGCAAGGCTCTTGAACAATGGAACCCCGAAACACACACCAGTCACTGAACAGGGATAAGTTGCCATAGGAAAGCAGTTAGCAGCGCCACTTGGTATCTTATGAGGTCGAGGGAGGCAGTAGGTATGAATAGGCAAGGTGGGGTGTGGGTAGGGTGGAATCAAGGTGTAGAAGTGACACCCTTGATGATCATCATGGTCTGTGTATGAGGTGTTCCACACACAAGGGGTGTACATCACCAGGGTCACTCTCCTTCTCTGCCTTCAACAAGAATCTCGAGTTCTGTTTCTTTTAGTTTCCCCACATTGTGCATGTTCCGGGTTTTAACCCTTGAATCAGAGATTTAAATCAATATTTTATTCATTCAAAATACCGAAAGGAAATTCATCTGAAGCACAAGTTTACAAACGTTATTTTACCAATATTATTACTATACTTAATGGGAAAAGCTGAACTCAAGAACTATACAGCGATTGGAGAATGGGACGAACTCAGTTTTGATCCTAGGAAGAGGAAGATACAATTAGTTCAGGAACTTTTTAGCATCAAAGAACCACCCCATTCTAGGAGAACCCTTGCCACTTACAACAGTTTACCTGGAGTTTACCTGGAGAGAGTTCCGGGGGTCAACGCCCCCGCGGCCCGGTCTGTGACCAGTTGTAATCTTCAACACAAATATCGAAAAATATTAATTCTAAGTTAAGAGATGAAGCTTCACAAAGTTTTTGCAGTAATTAGTGCAACAAATTAAAACTAAGTTACACTCAATGCTTGAAATAAGTACCAGGTATACAATTTATCTTTATCAGGCCTAATATAAATCAGCTCCCTAAAAACATATACATCAACAGGTATATTTCTCCTTAGAATACGGATTCCAGTATTCTTGTCTAGAAGTGCAAAACAAAGTTATTTGCATCCTTAAATGCTCCTAGTGTAGCCGATAGGCTTTAAACCCCATTAACAAACCAAGCCTACCCAGGCGCCCAGATTTCTAAGTCTGGAACTCCTTATCCGCCCTTTCCTTGGATCAAACCTGAATTCCTCCTATTTCCCAGTCGCTACATGACCTATACGTGTTTAACGCTTCCCCAGAAATAATAAATCTAACAAAAATTCCTTTTTTCTTAATCATAAGACAACAGAAAAACATCAGGGGCAGCGGATACAGGCGAGGGAATTTACATGATTTATCCGGTAAGAGAAACACCGAGCACGGCTGAAGTGTCTATAGCACGGCTGAAGTGTCTATAGCACGGCTGAAGTGTCTAGAGCACGGCTGAAGTGTCTAGAGCACGGCTGAAGTGTCTAGAGCACGGCTGAAGTGTCTAGAGCACGGCTGAAGTGTCTATAGCACGGCTGAAGTGTCTATAGCACGGCTGAAGTGTCTATAGCACGGCTGAAGTGTCTAGAGCACGGCTGACGCGTCTATGGCACGAGCTAAATGACCCCTATGAGTTTAGAGCTTCCCTAGGAATTATATTGATCCCCAAATCCAGTTATTATTGGAAAGCACTGAACCCGTAGGGGCTGGCTGGTTTATTAAGCTGAGAGTATATTAACCACACGAGGGTCATTAATTAAAGCTGCTTATCACTTGTACACCTCCAATGTGTATATATATATATATATACATACACCTGTGTATATACAGATGCAAGACTCGATGTGTATGCAAACCCTGTCCAGGTAAACGGTATATAGATACAAACCTGTGTATATACTAGCCTTTAGGTGTATATGCAGATACAAGTCTCGGTGTGTATACAGAAATATACACTGTATATACATAGATACAAGTTTCTCGGTGTATAAACACTGGGATACACCTCAGTTAGGCGCATATACATACCTTTCGGTACAAATACAGAGATATACACCTCTCGGTACAAATACAGAGATATACACCTCTCGGTACAAATACAGAGATATACACCTCTCGGTACAAATACAGAGATATACACCTCTCGGTACAAATACAGAGATATACACCTCTCTGTGTATACATCCGTTTCAACAGTGGTCATACAACACCTATACTCACTGCAGACTGACCTAGAATACACAAAAAAACACAGAATTCCCAGGTGGCCTACACTGACCACACACACTCCTACACTGTCAACAAAAATCTTCAGGTTTTGCTGAACCAGATTCGAAATTATTTCCGATTTATGATTCACTGTTGAAGATTTTTGTTATTTAGATCCTGACCTATGAAAAAAAGGCTGAATCCTTCCCCTTTTATATATATATAACCTAAGATAATCTTAAGGTTAATATGTACTGTAGTTATTTTGAGTTGTGGATTTCTTGATGTGAGTACACCGAGGGTTTTTTTTTTTTTTCAGTGTGCCTTATATTCCTTTTAGGTGGCTCTCTCAGGTGTATATTAGCTAAAATATATACACCTCTTGATGTATATGAACTTGAGAGATAGATGCCCACCTATCGGTGTATACACAGATAATCACCTGTGTGTATATATGTCTACACGGGGTGACTACGGTAAACAATATGGTTGTCTCCCAATGAAATTACTTGTATGCATGTAATGTTGAGGTACATACAGGTAACACCCTACAAAATTTTCCATATCTGCCCGCTGGTCATTCCTGAACCGGATGCAATCAGTGAAAAAATTAATTGAATTAATTACTTAATAATTAAGTGACTGATTGAAGAAAGTGGGTATAGAGTATACAAATTTAATCGATCGTGTGGTGGATGATAATTAGCCTAATTAATTGCTAGCACATGTGTGGCTACGATTTATACAAGAGTAAAGTGCACAGGTGGTCCACTGAGCGAAGTAATTGGGTAAATAATCTTATGTGGACAATTTCCGGGTGTGACGTCAACTGAAGAGGAACTAATGAGGATATGTGAAGGGGTTAATGAAATAATGCAGTAAGGTGCTGGGGCTGACTTGGGACACTGAGAGAGACTTGTTATTGTTAACGTCTCATAATTCCAGTATGCCCAATAGATTAACCCAGGGAGCATAGGCTTATGCACCTGAGGGAATGGAACAGTAATTAGTCCATTTTGAGGGATCAATAAATATGGATGGCCATGGAGTTGAAGTGCCTATATGCAGTAATGTGCTGGGGCTGACTTGAGACACTGATCTGATAAGAAATGTCACCATATCAAAAACAATATACTCAGATCACAACATAATTGAGGTTCAGACATGTATGCGTGGAGCCCCAGACCGACATAATGAGACTAGTCACGAGGGAGCATTCACCAAATTCAACTTCAATAACAAAAACATAAAGTGGGACCAAGTAAACCAAGTCCTAACCGATATAAGCTGGGAAGATATACTAAGCAACACAGACCCCAACTTATGCCTAGAACAGATTAACTTGGTGGCACTCGATGTATGCACAAGGCTTATTCCTCTAAGAAAAAGGAGATGTAAAATAGAAAGAGACAGGCTCTCCCTTTACAGGCGATGGAAAAGAATAACAGAGCGGCTAAAAGAGGTCAATATATCTGAAATGCGTAGGGAGACACTGGTCAGAGAAATAGCAAGCATCGAACTTAAGCTAAAGGAATCTTATAGGAGTCAGGAATCGCGGGAAGAACTAAAAGCCATAAATGAAATCGAAAGAAACCCAAAGTATTTCTTCTATGCCAAATCAAAGTCGAGAACAACGTCCAGTATTGGGCCCCTACTTAAACAAGATGGGTCCTACACAGATGACAGCAAGGAAATGAGTGAGCTAGTCAAGTCCCAATATGACTCAGTTTTTAGCAAGCCGCTAACCAGACTGAGAGTCGAAGATCAAAATGAATTTCTTATGAGAGAGCCACAGAATTTGGTTAACACAAGCCTATCCGATGTTATCCTGACGCCAAATGACTTCGAACAGGCGATAAATGACATGCCCATGCACTTTGCCCCAGGGCCAGACTCATGGAACTCCGTGTTCATCAAGAACTGCAAGAAGCCCCTATCACGAGCCTTTTCCATCCTATGGAGAGGGAGCATGGACACGGGGGTCGTCCCACAGTTACTAAAAACAACAGACATAGCCCCACTCCACAAAGGGGGCAGTAAAGCAACAGCAAAGAACTACAGACCGATAGCACTAACATCCCATATCATAAAAATCTTTGAAAGGGTCCTAAGAAGCAAGATCACCACCCATCTAGAAACCCATCAGTTACACAACCCAGGGCAACATGGGTTTAGAACAGGTCACTCCTGTCTGTCTCAACTATTGGATCACTACGACAAGGTCCTAGATACACTAGAAGATAAAAAGAATGCAGATGTAATATATACAGACTTTGCAAAAGCCTTCGACAAGTGTGACCATGGCGTAATAGCGCACAAAATGCGTGCTAAAGGAATAACAGGAAAAGTCGGTCGATGGATCTATAATTTCCTCACTAACAGGACACAGAGAGTAGTCGTCAACAGAGTAAAGTCCGAGGCAGCTACAGTGAAAAGCTCTGTTCCACAAGGCACAGTACTCGCTCCCATCTTGTTCCTCATCCTCATATCCGACATAGACAAGGATGTCAGCCACAGCACCGTGTCTTCCTTTGTAGATGACACCCGAATCTGCATGACAGTGTCTTCCATTGCAGACACTCAAGGCTCCAGGCGGACATCAACCGAATCTTTCAGTGGGCTGCAGAAAACAATATGAAGTTCAACGATGAGAAATTTCAATTACTCAGATATGGTAAACACGAGGAAATTAAATCTTCATCAGAGTACAAAACAAATTCTGGCCACAAAATAGAGCGAAACACCAACGTCAAAGACCTGGGAGTGATCATGTCGGAGGATCTCACCTTCAAGGACCATAACATTGTATCAATCGCATCTGCTAGAAAAATGACAGGATGGATAATGAGAACCTTCAAAACTAGGGAGGCCAAGCCCATGATGACACTCTTCAGGTCACTTGTTCTATCTAGGCTGGAATATTGCTGCACACTAACAGCACCTTTCAAGGCAGGTGAAATTGCTGACCTAGAAAATGTACAGAGAACCTTCATGGCACGCATAACGGAGATAAAACACCTCAATTACTGGGAGCGCTTGAGGTTCCTAAACCTGTATTCCCTGGAATGCAGGAGGGAGAGATACATGATTATGTACACCTGGAAAATCCTAGAGGGACTAGTACCGAACTTGCACACGAAAATCACTCACTACGAAAGCAAAAGACTTGGCAGACGATGCACCATCCCCCCAATGAAAAGCAGGGGTGTCACTAGCACGTTAAGAGATCATACAATAAGTGTCAGGGGCCCGAGACTGTTCAACTGCCTCCCAGCATACATAAGGGGGATTACCAACAGACCCCTGGCAGTCTTCATCACGGATACTTATTTAATCCCCCGAAAATGGGATTTAACTCCTTGTACAATATACATTAAAAAAACACACTTCGGCTAAGCTTTTAATTGACATGGACTGGAGACTTGACTCCAAATCTGACTGACCACTAACAAAAGGGTTAGTTAAAAATTCTTTTAAAAAGGGGGTTTTTGGTCATCTGACCAAGGCCTTCCACTGGCTTACCCCCCCACCCTCTAAAATTTAGGGTCTAATTAAAACCCGGAATACTTGACTAAGGATTTAAACTATCAGTTAACTGAGCTTGGGGAAGTACATTTTTTAAGGCGAAATTTATCTGTGCCCTTAAATCAACAAAAAAAAATGAGTTAGCCAAAAAAAATGTCGATGAATACAAGAGAAATACTACCTAAAATAACTTTTGGGGTATTTCAGGTAGGTCCTTTAAAGGGCGCTATTACGGGTTAACAACTTCTCCATAATCTAAAAAATAAACCACATATATTATTAGAAACAAAAAGAAATAGAACTAACAGGGATGAAAAAGCTAGGGTTGATTCTGCAGGTGGAGTGATGGGGGGGCTGCTGGGGTGGGGTGTCCTGCCTGGTCAGGGCGCTGCCCAAAACAGGAACAAGAAGTAAGCTCTTTCCCCTGTCCATCCCACGTCTTATCTTTATTATTTATTTAATGATAATATTCAGTAATGGTAATACTAAAAATAACTATTATAGTATAATAATTTATGTATTTCGTTTAAGATATTATGATAATGTAAATTATTTTTTAATATCAATTTCAAAAATTTTTTCTTGTGTTTTTTTATGTTATGTTAAATTTATTTATATTTGGTAATAGTTGTCGCAAAAAAAAATTTTCTCTCAAAATGATTAACTATTCTTCTTTACTTTTCAGGTCAGAGATTCTTTATAAAGAACTATTCCACTACAACAGAGACGAGCTTGTCTGTAATTACCTCCGTTGTTCCCTATATCTGTTTCCTCAGTAAGTTGTTCCCTATCTCTGTTACTTCAGTAAGTTGTCCCTAGTATCTGTTACCTCAGTAAGTTGTCCCCTATCTTTGTTACCTCAGTAAGTTGTACCCAATATCTATTACTACAATAAGTTGTCCCCTATATCTGTTACCTCAGTAAGTTGTCCCATCTCTGTTTCTGCATAAGTTTTTCCCCATATCATTCCCCTCAGAAAGGGTTGTTCCTATATCAGTTCCCTCAGAAAGTTGTCTCCCATATCAGTTACCTCAGTAATTGTTCCCCTTATCTTACCCAGTAAGTTTCTCCTATATCTTACCTCGAATTTGTCCCCTATTAGTTACCCATAAGTTTCTCCTATATCAGTTCCCTCGTAAGTTGTCCCCTGTTTCTACAGTAATTGTCCCATCTCTGTTTCTACAGAAGTTGTCCCTCTCTGTTTTCAGAAAGTTGCCCCATCTCTGTTAAGTAAGATTTATTGGGTTTTTTAACTCCGGAGGTTACCCACCCAGGATAACCCAAAAATTTAGTGCTTCGAGGATGTCTAACTTTTTTCCTTTGGGGGTTTCCCTTTAAATTTTTTCCCCCCAGGATGCGCCCCACACCAGTCCACTAACACCCGGGTACCTATTCGCTTGGGGTAACGAAAATGTGAAAGGGAAAACGTGTCGAAATATTCCCGGCGGGGGGGAAACATTTCGACCGTTTCCTTACCTATTGCCCTGTTCCCCTTTAAGCGAATAGGTCCCTGGGTTTAGTCGATGGTGTGGGTCGATCCGGGGGGCACAAGATTGAGGACCCCAA